TCAGCATCATTACACGTTAGGGAAATGAAAATCAAAGCCACAATGAGGGGCAGCTGGATGGCTCAGTCAGTTAAGCATCTGTCTTCGGCTCAGGTCATGATCCCAGAGTCCTGGGATAGAATCGAGTGTCTGACTCTCTGCTCAGTGGGAAGCCTGCTTCTCCTTCTGTCCCCACCCCCTCCCCACTCATGCTCTCTTTCACAAGCTCTATCTCAAATAAATAAAATCTTTTTTAAAAAATTTAAAAAGCCACAATGAGATACACCTTACACCGACTAAGATGGCTATAACAAAGGACAGTAACAGGAAGTGACAAGTATGTGGAGAAACTGGAACCCTCAAGCATTGCTGGTGGAAACATAAAATGGTGCACCCGCATTGGAAAACAATGTCTTAGTCCATTCGGGCTGCTATAACAAAATACCACAAACAGGGTGGCTTATAAACAGGAGAAATTTATTGCTCATAGTTCTGGAGGCTGGAAGTCCAAGATTTTGGTACCAGCATGGTCGGGTTAAAGTGAGGACTCTCTTCAGGGTTGCAGACTCCAAACTTCTGGCTGTGTCCTCACATGGCAGAAGGGATGAGGAGCTCTCTCAGGCCTCTTTCATAAAGGCACTAATCTCATTCCTAGTCACCTCATCACCTCCAGAAGTCCCTACCTCTAATACCATTACCTTGGGGATTAGGATTTCAACATAAAAATTTTGGGAGGCCTCAAACATTCAGACCAAAACAAACAGTACAGCAGTTTCTCAAAACGTTAAATACAGATTTACCATGTGACCATCAATTCCACTCCTAGGCCTCTACCCGAAAGAAAGGAAAATATGTGCCTGTACAAAAAGTAGAATATGAATGTTCATAGCAGCATTTTTCATAATAGCCAAAAAGCATAAACAACCCAAATATTATCCATCAACTGGTGAATGGATTAAATAAAATGCAGTATATTCATACACTGGAATACTATACTATTTAGTAATAAACAAGAACAAAGTATTGATACATGCTACAACATGGATGAACCTCGAAACATTATGCTGGGTGAAAGAAACCAAACACAAAAGACCACATACTGTCTGACTCCATTTACATGAAACCTCCAGAAAAGGCAACTTTGAGAAAAGAGAATTGATTAGTGGATACCTAGGAATAGGAGGTGGGAATGGAGAATAAACTACAAATGAATACATCTTCTTTGGGAGATGATGGAAATGTTCTAAAATGCAATTATGGTGATTACTGCACAACTCTCTAAACATTCTACAAATCACTGAATTGTACACTTAAAAGAGGTGAGTTTTATAGTACATAAGATATACCTCAAAAACTTTTTAAAAAAGATACTCAAACTCATTAGTTGTCACTGAAATGCAAATTAAAGCCACCATGAGCTACCAGTACACAGCCACTAGAATGGCTAAAATTTTAAAGACTGACAATACTAAGTATCGGTGAGGACATGGAACAACTGGAATTCTCGTACACAGCTGATGAAGATATAAAATGGTGTACTGGGTGTGAATAACATTCCCCAAAATATGTCCAAACTTAATCCACAGTTGTTGTAAATGTGATCTTATTTGGAAAAAAAGGGTCTTTGTAGGTGTAATTAAACTGAGGATTTTGAGATTAAGATCATCCTGGATTTAGGGCAGGCCCTAAATATAACGACCGTGTCTTTACTAGAGAAAGGAGAGGGAGATTTCACACACACACACACACACACAAAAAAAAAAAAAAAAAAAAAACACTGAGAAGGTGGCCATGGGAACACAGAAGCCAACTGAAGTTATGCTGCCCAAACCAAGAAATACCAGGGGTCATCAGAAGCTAAAAGAGGCAAGGAAGGATTCTCTCCTAGAGCCTTCAGAAGAACCAGGACCTGTGAAAACCCCGCATCCAGACTTACCTTTAGAACTAAGACAGAACTGGGGCGCCTGGGTGGCTCAGTCGTTAAGCATCTGCCTTCGGCTCAGGTCATGATCCCAAGGTCCTGGGATCGAGCCCTGCACTGGGCTTCCTGCTCTGCGGGAAGCCTGCTTCTCCCTGTCCCACTCCCACTGCTTGTGTTCCCTCTCTCGCTGTGTGTGTCTCTCTCGCTCACATAAATAAATAAAATCTTTAAAAAAAAAAAAAGAACTAAGAATAAATTTCTGTTGTTTTAAGACATCAAGGTCGTGGAAACTTGTTCCAGCAGCCCTAAAAAACTAATGAAAATGTCAGAATCACTTTGGCAGTTTCTTGTAAAGCTAAACAAAGAACTGAGCAATTGGAATCCTGAGTGTTTATCCAAGAGAAACAAAGACAAAGACTTATACATGAATGGTCATAGCAGCTTTTTTACATAACAGCCCCAAACCAGAAACAATCCAAATGTTCTTCAGCAACAGGTGAATGAATAAACAATACATGTAGTTCCACACAGTAGACTATCACTCAGTAATAAAAAGGAATGAACTACTGATACACAGGACACCATGAATGAATCTCAAAAATCTCAAAAATGCTGAGTGAAAGTAGACAGGCTCAACAGTACATACAGTTTGTTTCTATTTATATGAAATCCTAGAAAATACAGACTCATCTACAGTGACAGAAAACATCATTGATGATTGCTTGGGAGCCAAAGTGGGGGGGACACTGACTACAAATCAAGAGGAAATTTCTAGAAGGGACTGAAAGGTTCTCTATGTCAACTATGATGGTGGTGTCGCAGGTGTATACACCTGTCAAAACTCGTCAATTGTACACTATAAATGGGTGCAAATTATTGTACATGAATTATACCTCAATGAAGTTGATTAGAAAATAAAGTCATGAGTAACTGACCATTTTCTACTTAAAATTTAAAACTTAATTGCCTATACTTTGTTCTAACCAATAATATGTTCATAAGTAAATTTCAAATAAATATCAAAGGAATTCTTTACACCAGAAGACAACTTGCTCTGTCAATTCAACATGTTTCACACCTTGAAAATGGAAAAAAGCTTTGAGTCAGAAGACCTGGTTCTGAGCCCTAGTTCCACACTTGCCTTGGGCAAGTCATGATTTCCTCACGCCTCAGTTTCCACATCCATAAAAGGTGGATGACAGGTCACTATCACACAGGCAAAGGGTAAGGTTTCAGTAGAGTAAAAGCTCCTTTGTCCAGAGATTCTATCTTAGCTTAAGTCATAATCCCAGTGTCTAGTAAATAATAGATGCTCAATAAATTTTCACAGGTCTTTACATAAATGTAAAGCTAAAAGGTGAGAAAGACATCATATACAACGCCATTGGGTGACATTGACCTCTTTCTCTGCACTGCTGTAGACTAATGCAGAAGGATCCTCCCCCCTCTAAATCCATCTTTAGTATACTGTCTATTTCACAGGCAGACTCTAGCAAGAAAACTTCAGGCCCCTGGCGAAACCCTGTTACAACTCAGGTCATTATAGGACAGATTTTATATTTTTTTAAAGATTTTATTTATCTAATAAATAAGAGCAAGAGAAATCACATAGGGAGAGGGAGAAGCAGACTCGCCACTGAGCAGAGAGCCCGATGCGAGGATCAATCCCAGGACCCCAAGATCATGACCTGAGTCGAAGGCAGACACTTAACCAACTGAGCCCACCCAGGCGCTCCCAGACTTTATATTTTAAATCCATAGAAGTATTGCCCTAAGACAAACTCACTTGTAGGATTCTAAATTCTACAAGAGCAAGAATTGTGTGTTTTAGTTACCATTGGTCCTCACTTCTAATATTTGCCTAACATAGAGTAGGCAACATAACAGCATGTGTAAAGGCTATGTAACCAGATAAAGCAGGAAAGAGGGCCTTTCAAGAAGGCCAAAGTGGCTGATGGGTAGAGAGCAGGGAGAGTGTCAGGTCCCATGAGGCTGTAGAAATAAGTAGGGTCCAAACCACGCAAGACATTGTAGGCCACGTGAAGTTTTCTCTTTCTCCTAAGGGCAACAGAACGTCATGGAAGATTTTTAAACAGGTGGTTGGCAGAGGAGGGAGGAAGGAAAGGGACATGATTCGATTTGCGCTTCGAAAATACCACTCTCCATAGTGTGCAAAAGAGACTGGTTGTGTGGAAGGAGACAAGGGAGTTTTTAGGGAGTAGAGTAAGTGTAGACCAGCAAGGAGACTCTTGCAACATCCATTAAAGAGATAATGGTAGCTTGGTCCAAGGTGGTGGAGATAGAAAAAGTGGACCGGTTACCGACATATGTAAACAAACCAACAGGGCTTGATTTGGGGAGTGAGAGAAAGGAAAACACTCAATTCTTCTGAACCTTAAGTCTTCATATGTAAAACAGGACTATTGGTACTCCATCTGCATAATATCTATCTCGCAATCTGCTATGGTAAGAACATGAAATAATATAAATTTTACGAACTTAACGCAGATCCTGACATGTAATAAAAGCTAAAAAAAAAAAAAAAAAAAAAAGAAGAAGTCGCTGTAGATGTTTATTACTGCCATCCATGGAATGGCAACTACCAGAAGCTAAACCCCAAAGGTGGAAAACAGGATTGTAGTTAGATTCATATCCGCTGTGCTGAAGACAACAGGCAGCCACTGAAGACAACTGTTCCAAATAAACACCTCTGACCGCACAGATACTTCATCTGAACCAATCTCAGTCCTCGGAAACCATTACTGAAGAGAAAGAACAACTGTTACGATCACGGTCATCCCGGTAAACTGAGGCACCAGCGTAGCTCCAAATTTGACCAAGGCATGAGGCGCAGAAGCAGGAAAAGGAAATGGGTGTCGTGATTCTCATTGGTGAGCAGATCCAACAGGACTAGGCCTGCATCCCGACCAGCATGAATGTATGTATATCCCCCAATGTCTCTGGTTCCCTTACTGACAAGGCCCTGTCATCCCTCGGCTTAAGACCCTGCGTCCGCTCGCCATGCAACCAAGCCCTTCCGGTTCCCGGCCCCTAGCTACAAGTGCACGAAGGATCCCAGACTCCCGAGAGGCCGACATACCTTAGCTTCGCGCTCTCGTTCCTCGGCGGTCGGGGTCCGCTTCATGCTGCCGCTACAACTGCCTTCGCCACTGCTAGCCGCGTAGATCCCTCTCCCTGGACCCCGCCTCCTGCTTGTAGTTCTCTCGGCGACCTGCTCCCGCCCGGCGCCATTCTCCGTCCGAGCCACGAGAACTACCATTCCCAGGATGCAAGGCGGAGGCGCTCGAGAGCGCCTCGGGGTTTGGGGCTCGAGAATTTCCCAGGGCCGACAGCTCCTCTGCGAGCGGGCGGGCTAGGGCTGGAGCAAAACTACATTTCCCAGGAGGCAACGGAGCCTGCCATGTTTTTCCCGTGCTCCTCTCGGCCAGCCGCCCAACACGCCGTCGGCGCTATAGCAACCGTAGCTAGCTGCGGGGAGAGAGTGGCGGTGAGTACTCCGGGGGAGTCGAGGGGGACGGAGGTGGCCCACCCTCTACCTGCAGCACGGGTCGGGCTCCTGGGGTCTGCTCTGCGCCCTAGAGAAGGCATTAGAGTTCTGCTCGCGTGAAAAGCAGCCCAGCACGAGACCACATCCTCAGGCCCGAATCACAGCCCGCGCATTATCCCCACGCCCAGCACCGGTTTGAAATTTTATATATATCTCAGCCATAAACCCTAGCTGTTGAGAGTTGATGCTAATTGCCGTGCCTATCCAAGTCCTTCAAGCAGAAGGGCACATAAACACAGTTCTTTCATTAGCCCTGGGTTAAGGGTTGGTTGGTAGACCCTTAAGACTCCTGAATGGCCTATTGTTTGCTTAATTATTTATAATTATGTGTTTAGCGTCTGATTACCCCCATAGCTTATTAACTACATAAAGGCAGGGATTCTGTTTACCATTTTAGTCTCAATGCCAGGTATTCATTTAATCATTAAGTAAATATTAATCTCGGTGCCCACCTTGCCCCAGACACTCTTCCCTACCGCTGTGAATAGGGCTGATACCCATCTGGAGATGCTTATACTTTTTTAGTGGAGACAGACTAGTAATGAGCTAGTAAACAAATAAGATAATTTTAGCTAGAGATGATTGCTACAATGGAAATAAACAGTGAAGAATTTGGGAGGAAGAGTACTCTGACAGAAGGTGATCAGGGAAGGCATCTCTGAGGAAGTGACATTTGAGCTGAGCCCCAACGAATGAGGAGCCAGCTAATGCAAAGGCTTTGAGCAAGACAAGAGTACCGTGGATTTGAGGAACCTAAAGGAGGAATGTTGAGTGGAGCATGGTGAGCAAGGAGGGATAACATTAGATGGTGTTGAAGAGGTGTGACAGCACTTTGCAGGGTTTGTCAGTCTCGGCGCTGTTAACATTTGGAGCCGGACAATTCTTTGTTGTGGTTCCTGTGCACTGTAGGATGTTTAACATCATCTCTGGCCTCTAGATGCCAGTAACACTGCCCTCCACCCTCCCAATCATGACGATCAAAAATATGACCAAACGACCACTTCTTAGATGTGTGACGTTGGGCAAATTACCTAAGCTGTGTCTTGGTTTTGTTCATTTGTAAAGAAGGAATCATTTGAGTAACAACCTCACAGGGATATTGTGAGATATTTGATTAATTCGTATTATCGGAGCACTTAGAAGAGCGCCTGGCACATTTTAGTAAGCATTCAGTAAATGTTAATACCACCACCACCATCATCATTGTTATAAAAGTTACCATAACTCTACCATGGCAGAGTTAATCGTTTTCACAAGTGTCCTATGTTTAAACTGCTTGATAATTTGGTTCCTAAAACTGATCTTTCCTGTACAAATGTTTCCAAAAGAAGTAGGAAGTGATCCCTCAGGTGTATGTCTGTTCATTGTTTATGCCACAGCTAAATGCAGTTGACCTTTGACGAGTTATAATAAAGGTTATGAACCCTTTCCCTAAAGATATTGCATATACACATATGCATACAAGATCTGATAAACCATCTCTTGGGTCTACAGACCCTAAAGCTCCATGGGTTCCATTCATTCAGCAACTATTTAGCGAATGCCTGCTATGTGCCAAGCTCTGTGTTGGCCTCTGAGAATACCGTGCAGAGATGCACAAGACAAATAAGCTGGATATTCTCTTGGACTTTACATTCTAGGCCCAACATTCTAGAGATTGCGTACCTCTGCCTTAGGGCATCTTCATTTGGCTTTTGGGGTGGTTTGAAATGAAAATATAAAATCTTTTTTTTTCCACATACTAGACATTGCATGGACCGTTTATAATAACCTCATACAAAACTGAGTTACTGTGGTGCATCTCTGAAGAATAGGAACTGTAAAGATGCCAGAATTAACTGGACAGCTTGTATGTTGAGGTAGGAAGCCCTGGGACTAGGCCTCATGGCAACAAAGAAAGGACAGAACAAAGACAAACTCCGCTGGTGAATTTATGAAACATCTTTGACAAAACCTGGACCGACCGCTCACTTGTACACCAAGCTAAAAATTAATATTCAAGTAATATTGACGTCCCAGGCAAATGTGCTAACTGCTTTTAATTTGCCATCTCACCCTTGGAATAACTCTGTGAGATAGCTGTTATTTTCTCCATTTTTAAAGTTAAAGAACTGTGGCAACTGGCTGGCTCAGTTTTCAGTAGAGCATGTGACTTTTGATCTCGTGTTGGGGGTAGAGTTTACTTAAAAATACATATATAGGGGCACCTGGGTGGCTCAGTCGGTTAAGCATCGCCTTTGGCTCAGGTCATGATCCCAGGGTCCTGGGATCGAGTCCCGCATCAGGCTCCCTGCTGAGCAGGGAGCCTGCTTCCCCCTCTACCTGCCATTCCCCCTGCTTGTGCTCCCTCTCTCTCTCTGACAAATAAATAAAATGTTTATATATATGTATATAAAACAAAGTAAAATGACTTTTAAAAAAATATAATAAAATTAAATTAAGGAACTGAAACTCAGCGAGATTCGGTGACTCGACCAGCTACTAAATAATAGAACAACCATTTGAATCAAGTTTTCTGACTAGATTTTTTCCAAGTTACCTGCTTACTTTTGGGAGCAGAGAAGGGGCTGGGGGACGGAGAGGAAGTATTTCTTAAATTTGGGGGAATTGGTTTTGTTCAGATCAAGAAATAAAAAGAGAGAAGGAAGAATGATATTCTTACCTCATTTCCTAAGCAAACTATAGGAAATATACTGGTGAAAGGAACACTAATTGAATGTAGTATTGCTTTTAAAATAGAAGCTTTCACATGTATCATTTGATCTCACTGATATGAGGAATTCTTAATCGCAGGAAACAAACTGAGTGTTGCTGGAGTGGGGGGTGGGGTGGGAGGGATGGGGTGACTGGGTGATAGACACTGGCAAGGGTATGTGCTCTGGTAAGCGCTGTGAATTGTGCAAGACTGTTGAATCTCAGATCTGTACCTCTGAAACAAATAATGCAATATATGTTAAGAAAAAAAAAGAAGAAGAAGAAGAAGAAGGTAGCGGGAGGGGAAGAATGAAGCGGGGGAAATCAGAGGGGTAGACGAACCATGAGAGACGATGGACTCTGAAAAACAAACAGGGTTCTAGAGGGGAGGGGGGTGGGAGGATGGGTTAGCCTGGTGGTGGGTATTGAGGAGGGCATGTTCTGCATGGAGCACTGGGTGTTACGCACAAACAATGAATCATGGAACACTACATCTAAAACTAATGATGTAATGTAGGGGATTAGCATAAGAATAAAAAAAAATAGAAGCTTTCACCTTCTTCAAGCAGCACATCTGGACAATGGATGTCCGTTAAAGTCATAATGCTTTATTCATTTTATTTGGTTCATTCCATTGCATAGTTAATGTTATACTTTGGAAAGATCTTACTTGAATTTTCTTTTTCTCCACAGATAGGCCATGTCTCGTCCCACTGATGAGACGGCAGGAGACCTGCCTGTGAAAGATATAGGTCTAAACCTCTCTGGAATGGGAGGATTACAAGGTATGGCCAGCTGTTATTTATTATCGTTATGAACTTTGATCAGTAACTTCTTTTCTTTTAATTTAAAATATTTCTGATATCCTTACAAACGAAGCCATTTAAGTAACTATATAGCTCTTGATTGGACTAAACAGGAACATGGAGAGTTTAGAACAACATATGGTATTTTACTGCATGCATCAATTATCAACAGCTCATAGAAAATGTAAAATCCCCCTCTGTTCTGATAAAGAATTGTTATAAATCATCTTTTTAAAATTCCACACATCAGTAGAAACTACACAGAGAGTATCAAGCCTCCAAACTGAATTGCCTGGTTTAAATCACATTCACCATTAAAATGTTTCTTTATGTTTAAATTTTATATGGGGGGAAATGCCATATTTAAAAAATTTTGCCTTTCAAGTAGAGTATCTCAAAATGGTTTGTTTATCCAAGTGATACTGACTTTGTTTTATCAAATTACTATACATTAAAGGTTTCCTTTATCCTTTTATCACTTAGTGGTTGCCCTAGAGCTAAAAAGTCACTTTCAAATTGAGAATGAAAAACACAGCTTTGAGGAACAATTCAGAGTGTAGAGCTGTGTTTTTGTTTGTTGTTTGGTGTCAGCTCTGCTGTCATGCTACTGCATTTGTCATTGAGACTGCTGTGATATCAAATATATTCCACTAAGGTGTCTTCATACCCCTGTTAATTAGAACAATTCGAGTGGCCACCTTGAACTACCACAGAAAGGCGGTCAGTGCATTGTTCATTGAAAAAGATAAATTTGACTATACAGGTTTTGTTTTTGAAAGTAAAAAGTATGTTCAAGCTTTGCTTTAGATCTTTGGTGGAGTACCAGGTATTCGAATGCAAATAAATGTCAATTGTGCAAAGCTGTTTATTGGAATTTGCTACCTTAAGTTCAATTCTTGTCCTCAGTAACCCGCCATAGGGGCTTTAACCTTTGTCCATTTGTTTTTTGTTTCTTTTGGATGATTAATGCAAATTAGCCAGTGATATGGAAAATACCAAATTTAAGCATATGTAAAAAATTATATATACATGTTAAAAGGCATAAAAGTTCTTTAAAAATACATAAGATAGAGCGCCTGGGTGGCTCAGTCGTTAAGTGTCTGCCTTCGGCTCAGGTCATGATCCCAGGGTCCTGAGTCCCATATCGGGCTCCCTGCTTGCCGGGAAGCCTGCTTCTCCCTCTCCCACTCCCCCTGCTTGTGTTCCTGCTCTCGCTCTGTCAAATAAATCTTAAAAAAAAAAAAAAAAAAAACGTAAGATAGCTTATAAATGATTTTTGAAGGTTTGTTGTTTGTACTTGCAAATTACAGTTTATTTTCTAGAACCCAAAACCCATACATAGCTCTGAAAAATATGCTATGTTCACCAAATTATAACTCTTGCCTCTGTAAAAAAAAAAAAAAAAAATACTTTTAGATAATCTTTTGTTTTTTTCAACATTGAGCATATAAGTTGAAAAGTCTTATTGAATCAGGGTTCCATCTTACATTCTTAAGGAATGGTTATCTAAATACCATTTTGAATGGATACTGCTATTGTTCAAATCCTTAATATTACATGTAAACTTTTAATAGCAAAGATTATTATTCTTCCCTCTGATTGGTGATGTAAACAACACTGTAACATTTTCTAAAACAATCTTAATAGTGGGTCACAAAGGAAAAAAGATGAGTGGGTCAGAGATTATATTAATATCAACAGTTATCATTTTAAGAGACTATTTTAAGTAATCCCACTATTAATTACCTTGGCATTTTTACAGAAACTTCAACAACACGGACAATGAAGTCTCGCCAGGCAGTGTCACGTATCAGTCGTGAGGAACTGGAAGACAGATTTTTGCGTTTGCATGATGAGAACATTTTGCTTAAACAGCATGCCCGCAAGCAAGAGGATAAAATTAAAAGGTTATGATAAAAAGCTTTTAGCTTTTTCTCCTGACTGTGAAGTTTGGAGGATATGCTTTTTTATAAAATTAATTGAAAACTCCACCTGGAATCTTTCTTGGAACAAGGCAGGTTGTAAATAAATACAATTTTTAAAAATGGAAGATCTTAAAAACTAGAATAATAAACCAAAAAGATGATGAGTGTTTATTATGTCTGAAGTTGCTATTTGAAAGAAAGAGCTAATAGCTAAGAGTGCCACAAGTATATCATATCTATAAATAACTTATGGTTTAATATTTATAGTTTAATCAAATGACCAAAGCATCTGTTTTTTAAATGCCTTGGTTTAAAATGAAAGTTTGAAAAAGTAATTAGCTATTCTAATTTGTTAGAATGCATGTTCCCTTAAGATTTGGGGTTTACTAATGTGAACATCACTTCAATAGTTGGAACATGTTTAACTTTGCTTGGATGAGTCTAGAATCTCTATTTAAAAGAGTCTCTACTGTTTCTGAAGAAACGTTGTCACTTGATTTGTGTGCAAAAAATTTTTGCTGGGATAACTTCTTAAGAGTAGATATTCTTTCATACCTTCTTGTTCAAGAAACACTTTGACTATCTTATGAATGTGTGGCATTAAAAACAAAAAAGCACATTCCTATTTGTAAGCTTCAACAGGCCTGTATTCATATTCATGTTCTAGGTAAAATGAAAAGGTGAGACAGCTATGGAAGAAAGAAGATGGGGGAGGGGGGAGGATTCTGCTTAGAATGCATCCTAAAGGGGTGATTCTAGTTCAGGTTCTACTCTGTGGACTTTATTTTAATGACCCACTGACCTACTGTGTATGGCGCTTTTACTTTGAGTTCATTTTTGAGTCATGGTAATGTCTTTTTTCAAGACATGTGACTCACTTGCCTGATTCCTTTTCTGACCAGTAACACACACATGTCCTATCGGAATGAGGAATGTACTCTATGACCACTGAACAATTTTTTTTCCTTTGTAAGCCTAATTGGTCAGTAAAATAATTGAATTCACAACCTTGACCTCATTAGCAATTTGTCCTAGCCAGAAAATATAAAACAACCTAATAATGAGCCATGTAGTTTAATGAAAAAAAGGACTCGGCTAGGAGTCCAGCTGTATGCATGTGTTCTATTATTTCTCTGCCACTGGCCTATGGTATTATGTTCAAGCCATTTAACCTCCTGCGATGTTATTTTACTTAGCCCTGAGAGCAGTGATCCAATGACCACTGTGACCCAAAGCTCTAAAATCCTCCTGAATTTCACACCACGGACATTACCTAGAGGCACATGTAGAACTGCTCTTTTTTTTCTTTTTTTTTAATTTTTAAGTAATCGTCACACCCAACATGGGGTTTCAAACTTACAACCCCAAGATCAAGAGTCGCATGCTCTACCAACTGAGCCAGCCAGATGCCCCAGAACTGCTTTTAAATTTATCCTTAAGATGTAATTAGTATCACATTAGCATAAATGTAGATTTGATAAACCAACTTTTTAAGTAAGTACTCAAACTTTACCAGATCACATACAATGCGTTAATACCACCAAATAAGCACATCAAACAAATGAAAATTACTGCTTTTACTGGACAAACATGTAATCTTGTTTCCTGACAAAAAGTTGACTTGAACATCCTTGAAGGAATTTAAAACCACTCTACTGATGTACTTTTCTTTCCTTAAAAATTTGGGTCATTTATTATTCTCCTTATGTTGTCTTTTTTTTTTATATTATACCTGTGTCTTTTGAATGTGATCTCTATCCCGTGATAGTCTCTCTGAAACAAAAGATTCAGATATTTAGGTTGACATCTCAGTTAGATAGCAACGATATTTCTATGGCTAAACCATCGGGCGGGGCAAAGGATCCTAAACTCATTAAAGGGCTAGATAGAATGTGTGGCTCTGCTGGGCTTATGATACCTGCCCAAATTTCCCAATGATATATCATCCTCTGGATTCGGTGGAAAAGGAACTAATCCATTGATTATTTTACTAGGGTGTTTGTGGTACTCTTGGATCTTGGTTTTTATTATCCTGTATCCCTTATAAAGCATGTTTAATGGATTTGCTTCAAGGGAAAGAGAAAACAATCTTAACTGATTATGTTATGCATAGCTCTCCCTGATGCCACATGCTGTAGGCCGAGTAGCCAGAAGTGTAGATAGACATGTATTACTACTGCTTTTACAGAGGACTCTGCTTAGGGCAAAAAAAGGTTGTTCTATGACATCCCAAAGCTATTAAGCATTTTTTTATTTCACTTTTGTTCTCTTAAGTAAAAGCTTCTGTCCATAACCATGCTAAAATAAAGCAAACCCCGTTTAAAGAAAAATGAAGTGAGTTTTTATTTTCAATCTCCGTCTGGCTCTTTATAAAAATAGATTCACTGTAAACTAGAATCAGCTATTGAAGATGTGCGACCAATTTTGTAAAGTCTTGAACTTGTGTCTCTCATCAAAGCCACCTTTTCTTTCTTGTCCTGCCAAGATTTTTCCATTCACTGTCAGGCATGTTTTCCGTACATGTATATTACATCACCCCCATGTGCCCTTTCTGTCTTTTGTTCTGTCTAACCAGTTTTTATCAAAACTTAAAAGAATGAAAGGTATAAACTCCTAAGATATCAAAAGCACAACTTCTCTCTAAATTTAAAGGTAGCATTAAAGTAATACTTTCTGCATCTAAGTATTTTCTACCATTAAACATGAATGTTTCTTGGGCACTAAGCAACATTTAGTGGCACATTTCGGTTTCTCTGAATTTTTCGCTGGGCTTTTTATCTGTGTGTACCTATGCATCCTAACATTTTTTTATTCGTAACGTGTCTTAATCTTAGAGAACCTGAAAACAGTTCACCTGAAACATATCACCTAAATGCTGCATAGTCTTAACACACTTTCCAAAAGTTGTAACTTACTGTGGCTCACATCTATAACCCACCACATCCACAATCTGTAGCTGCATTTAAGTGCATACAGCATTCCTACATAAGGTCATGCGTTAAAAATTGCATTTGGGGAACATATGGAGTAAATATGTGTCCTCTCTTTACTAACCTTAAATGATAAGCCTTAGGAAACTGTTATTTGTCAGTGCTATAAAGCAGATTGTTGCCCAGTGGTTTCAATTATCATCAAAGGATTCTTCACAGGCAGTAATAGTTACATCAAAACCTGAAATTTATTATTCAGGTTCTGCACTGAAGTCCTCACAGTGATTATGTTCCTTTCAACAGAATGCATTTTATGCTGACTTCTCACATTCCTTTTCATCTTTTTATTATTTCCCTAGAATGGCCACCAAGTTAATACGGCTAGTTAATGACAAGAAAAGATATGAGCAGGTTGGTGGCGGCCCCAAGCGGCTGGGACGAGATGTGGAAATGGAAGAAATGATGGAGCAGCTGCAAGAGAAAGTTCATGAGCTTGAAAGACAGAATGAAGTCCTCAAAAACAGACTCATTTCAGCCAAACAGCAACTTCAAATCCAGGGTTACAGGCAAACCCCATACAATTATGTGCAATCTCGTGTTAACACTGGGCGTAGAAAAGTGCATGAAAATGCAGGCGTACAAGAATGCCCCAGGAAAGGTAAAATAAGCTTATATTAAATCCTAAATGTAAGTCTTTTAGTAGGCTGTTTTAACATGCATGCACACACACAGTATTTCTGTATTTCTCAGGTTTTTAAGTACCTTTAGAAATAGGAAAATAGTTTTATGACTTGCGTTTTGATAAAATGCTAATATTAACATGAAAATATTTGTTGAGTAAAACACTGAACATAATTTTTTATCCTGATATGAGAGACGTGTGTGAAACCATATAAAATAGGAGTTTAGTTTGAGTTGGTTTTCTGTATTGCAGACGGAAATCACATTGACTCAGGCAAATGGGGAAACCAGCTAGTTTGCTTATTTATGATCACACTTTCTGTTTTGAATGATCACAATTAACTTCTTTGTCAAAAGACCTCTTTGAAAATTTGCAGAATTGTTTAAATCTCTCATCGTATGGAGGTAGCATGACAATGCAGCGTGCACGTAACAAGGGTTTAAAAAATTGTGTTCTTGCTCCTCTACTTACTATCTGGTGACCTTGGACAAGTCATCTAATCATTCTGAACTTGTTCCTTCCATGTAAAATAAAAGGATTTATGCAAGTGACCATAAAGGTCTCCTCCATCTCCAAAAATGATCATAGGTCAATCACTTTCCTCATTTTGAGAATGAATCACCTAAAACCTACCCACACAAAGCAGTTCAGTTGCATAGATGAAACTTAATGTAGGAAGAACCTAAATATTTCTAATAAAAATTCCCAACTCTCCCCACCCATGGACAAACTTTATTTACAATGAGGTGAAAAGTCAATAAATATTTTAAGTAACATTTTTTAAATTTCAACTACTAGGGAAGGAATTAAATTTGTAGCTGCAATTGATCTTCATTTGGAACATGCTTCACATAAAGACCAAACATTTTGAGGGACACAAAAAATCGTGTAAAACTTTCAATCCATCGAGGAGGACAAAAAATGCCATATAAACAGAAAAGGAGAAAATTTTCTTCTGTTTTTTTCTCCAAGCCAAAATATGGATACTATCTCTTCCCTAGGCAGAGTTCCCTTGAACTCAGTAAGGCCTCCATATAGGCAGGAGGCAGCTGCACAATGAAAGGGCTCAGCTACACCTAGCTTGTGAGACTGGCAGTGGACTTTGATATAACCAAAGCAGTCATAGCACATTATAAGTTAAGAAATACACTGTGCTGCTGATTAACTTTCTACTTGGAAGAGAGCACTTGACCTCTCAGAGCCTTATTTTTCCCATCTGTAAAATGGAGTTATAACACCAGATGAGAAAAAAGGTCAAAAGATGGCAACTCCATGGTAGTGTATTTTACCTTTCAAAAGTCAGTTACCCTCTCTCAACCTTAGTTTGGTCATCTGTCAAGGCAAGATGATCTCTAAGGTCTGTAAGGTCTTTGATACTAAATAAAGATGCAATGCCCAAATTGTAGATTAACGTGGCAAACTAATCTACTGCTATGAATTGCTGTTTAAATAGAAGAGTCTGGTGGAAGTTTCCTCCTATAGGGAAAAGAAAAAAGGAGCCACAGAGCAGCACAGTCTTTAAAATGTGACTAGAAAGTTCAAATTTCTCCTTGTGGTTATACACTCTTAGTAATTCAGACCTTTTTCGCTGCTTGGTACAGAGTCCAAGATGTAGAAGCTGCACAAAGCACTCGATAGTGATGAATGTTTTCTCAACCATTATCTTTCTGAGTAAACTTGAGACACCATCATCAGGGTTGATACCTTAGTAATCTTAATAGCCTCTTCAAGACCACCTTTGAGCCTGGGACTTGCGCCATACTTGTCAGAAGTATCACAGGGTAGCGTGGCTAGGTGAGAACACTCACTAGATTCTCCCTGGCTAAGGCAGCCTTGCCCCCAAGCTGCTGTACACATATTCCATTTTTCTATATGTGCCTGGTCAAGAGAAGGAATGGAAAGTGCTGGTTTAAGGTGTGATCATTGTAATATAGAAACAATCCTTATTGTGAAGAACCAGTAGAACAAAGATTCCTATAAGCTGTGTATGCTTTAAAATGTAACCATTGGCAAACCACTGGTACACAATAGTTTTAAGATTATTTTAAGGATGGAGCACCTGGGTGGCTCAGTCATTAAGCGTCTGCCTTCGGCTCAGGTCATGGTCCCAGGGTCCTGGGATCGAGCCCCACATCGGGCTCCCTGCTCGGCGGGAGGCCTGCTTCTCCCTCTCCCACTACCCCTGCTTATGTTCCCTCTCGCTCTCTCTCTCTCTCTCTCTCTGTGAAATAAATAAATAAATAAATAGATAGATAGATAATAAATAAATAAAATCTTAAAAAAATGAGACTATTTTAAGGATAAGTAGATTTTTAAATTTTTCTAGTGATGTTTAGTTTTTCCATGATTTATGTAGGAAAAGCTTAACAATTAGCATTATTGCCAGAATTGGCAAATTTTAACACAGTAAACTATTTTAATGGTTTTAGGCAGAGCCTTTTCTGGTCTTTAGTCTGGACTACAACAATAGATGTTGAAAATTTTGGAAATAGCAAGTAATAGTTCCATTCTAATTAAAAATAAACTTTCTTAAAAGAATGAATTTTATCTGTACCTTATATCTGAGACTATGTTCCATTAAAAATCTGAATTATTTGTCATAATTTTATCTACCTTAAGCTCTAGTAATTTATTTTGTAAGTGTAAGTCATATAACTAAAATTATGTCTCATTTTTAACAATGGGACTAGACTTGTAAAAATGTATCTATTTTTACAAGAAAAATACTTCAAGGGCAGCAGCAAAATGTTTTATTTGAAGGAATCTCACTGGTGATCCCTTTTTGAATTATCTCTGTTTAAATATGGATTTTCTTATTGAGATGGAATAAATGAAAGTACAGGAAACATTTTGACTTACACGTATCTGTGAGTCACACAAATGAAGACAGGGTTCAATATATAAGGTCAAGGACTGTGAATAACTACTGAAAAATTTTTTTAAAAATCTATATCAAAAATACTAAAAAAAGTCAAGATTTTGAAATCTTTTTCCTTCATACTTTAGCTTCTATTGTAAAGCCCTGACCTTGGTTCTTTCAGAAATGAATTTAGTTGTTCTAAGTTGAATCAAAATATTTCTAGTAATTTGGTTTCCATGGTAGAGTTTGTTTAATTTGCAACACCTGCTGCTGTGTACATTTAATGCCAATGGTGGTCCCTTTGGCAATGGGTTTCTGATTCTCTGTACTATAGAGCACATCTCTCAGTACTGAAGAAATGTTCTTACATTGCAAATTTCTTCATGATAGCAAATCAGGAGCCCTTCTTTCCCAACTTCACTTTTATAATCTTGCTGATTGACTTCTAGGTATTAGATTCCAAGATGTCGATGTAGCGGAAACTCTACAACCCATGCTTACAAAATATGGCAACAGTTTACTTGAAGAAGCCAGAGGAGAAATAAGAAATTTGTATGTATTCTTTTTGTGGTCATTTTAGAACTTTGTTTATTGATCATGTCTTTTTTGATCCCTCCCTTTCCTTTATTTTAAACACAATTGGTTTATGTACAAATAATTTGCTCCACTAAATACATCTAGATCTGTGGGGTAAGAACAGATATTATATAACATGTTTCCAATAAAATGAGGAAAATGAACAACTTAACCAACTACATCAGTGGAGGGGTTTATAGAATAGTCCTCTATATTATAATTTTCTCCCCAAAGGAATGGCATAAAGCCCAGTCATTTAGAATAGTATAAGCTTTAGGGGCAACATATCCATTCTCAGAAAAATTACAGGTAATTTTTTTTTAGATACTGAATTAATTAGCCGTTTTGCGGTTAAAAAAAAAACTGGAGGGAGTGGCTTAAAAGTTTGGAGTTATCAAATACATATGGATTTCAGATTTTGTTTCACTGTGATTCTATGGTACTGCATTCTTCATCATACTATGGTTTCAAAAAAGTTACTTCTGCCACATTTAGCTTACTTTCCCAGTTAATCAAAGCCTCATGGTTTCAGTGTCTGTGAGTCACACAAATGAAGATAAGGTTCCACCTTTCCTACAGGCCTTCACCTGGATCATCAAAAAGTAACAATTCTGAATGAGGAAAGAAAACATGAAATAACATCACACTTTAGACAGTTGCTTAAGAATAATATGGGCTTCAAATTACTTCTTTTGAATATTTTAAATACCAGTTACAGCAATGACTAGCCTGCAAAGGAATAAAAGCAAAAGACTAAATCTAATCTTGTTACCTGCTAATCAGCTGAAAAAACAGGGTTCATAGGAGTTTCCTGAGGCTTATTACACTGGGATGCTGCCAAACATGGTAGAGTTAAACAAATACATGCAAAAAAAAAAACAAACACTGTTATATTTTGCAAATTCTTGCTCTCTCTCTCTCTGAAGTGTTAAATTGAGTGATCTAGGCAGATGTACGTAGGAAAGAACAAAAGCGTGTAAATTATCTGAAGATGTGCAGATTGTGGAGCACGTAGTAGGTAACCAATAAATACTGAATTGAATTGAATTGAACCGAAGTCCAAGTTATCGTCTAGGACATTATTGTATAAAAAGCAGTATTTTGAATTATTCCACATGCACTTCTAAATCGTCCCATTTAGTCTACTATTCACTATATGCAGAGGCACTTGAGCTAAAATTTTTAGCTTGCTCTTTATTATGAAGAACTTTCTTTTTACTGATCTTGAATATTGCAGGTTTTTCCTCAAACTACAAATTCTTGTAAAGGTTCTTTATTTCAGAGAAAATGTTATTCAGTCACAGAGAGGCCAGATTGAAGAGTTAGAGCACTTGGCTGAGATCCTGAAAACTCAGTTGAGGAGAAAAGAAAATGAAATTGAGTTATCTCTTCTTCAGCTTCGAGAACAGCAGGCTACAGATCAAAGGTATGTTAAAACAGAAATATCACTTTGATAAGGTCAAAATTAGTTTAAAATACTTTATCATGTGCCATAGAAGGATAAGTCTAGTCTATTTTAAAAATCATGTTTTCACTTAACATTCTTCATATAAGCCTACTCTAGACCTACTAACTGCTCTCAACAGCTCGAGTGGAAGGGCATTTTTCCCTAGCCTACTCTGCCTCATCTTGTTTCCCCCACTCATTTGTCCATTTGTTGCACTTACCATAACTGTAGGAAGTTCTGATGCCATTTGGTTGCACCTACCAAGGGAAATATGTGTGACAAGGACCCTGCTGTTGACACATCTTGTGAATAAGTCCAGCCTCATATAATTTTTTTCAAAGTTAAAAAAATTCCATAACATGGTACCAGTTTTTTTAGTCCCAAAAAGATGTTTGTTACCTCTCCTAACATTCAAAATTTGCTTCAAATTCCATTGATTATTGTGGAGTCCAGTGGGCCCCTTCAGCAGTCTCCTTGCTGCCTCTTCATTTTGGATATTTTATAATGTACTCTATTTTCTTTCCCAGCCTCCTCTGTCATTTTTGGTTCCTAATACCTTTCCTCTGTTTTGTACTTCCACACTGTGTTTCCAACAAGATTTTATCTTCTTACCATATTCTTCCTTGAGTCGTTCTCCCCTTCCTTCCTTTTTTCTTTCCCTTTGTTTCCTTTTCTTGCCTTTCTGTTTGTTTTCTTGGACCAAGGATACCCAGAAGTAGAGGGAGTGGTGCATTAAATTGCCAGGTACCCAGCACTTAGCTTAAACAATCTGTAACATGTGCCCAATCTTGTTTCACCTGTCCCTTCACCTTTATTTTCTTCAGTTAATTAACCCCAGCCAGATAAGATGTCATCTCTCCTAGGAAAAGTCCAGTATATATCCCTGATCGGCAGTTTTTTTAAACATAACACCATGCCGTTATCGCACGTGAAAAAATTAACGGCAATTCCTTGATACCCTCTAACAAGCAGTCTATATTCAAACTTCCTGAGCGTGTCTTCCCCTGTTTGTTTGAAGTGGAATTCAAATGAGGTCTACACATTGCATTTGACATCTCTTATGTCTCTTATTTCTCTCTTAATGTTTTTTAAACCAGACCTCGATCCTCTATTTGTTTTTCCCCTCTCCAGTGTATATGATCTAATGCTTATGTGGCTAGGTTCTCATTTAGAAAAACCAATATGATTTTCTGGTTTCTCCTTTTGGATTCAGAGTTTAATCCTCCTTTAACAAACTAACCTGCCATGGTAATATTTGAAAAAACTAGGAAAAGATGCATCGTATGAGACTTATTTTTAAAACAATAAAGTGGGCTGAAAATATATGAGGCTTTATATTTCAAAGATTCAAATTATTAGTATTTGATTAATATTATCTCTGATAATATATAAAGTTAAATTACATAATAAAATTCTGTATATTTAGTGATATTTATATGCCCTTCTAAGGGCAGGGCAAAAGAAACATGAGTATTTTTGAGAATTATATTAGGTGATACAATTTGAACCCTGGCTTTGAACCAGCTTGAATACCTAGGAGTTATCTCTGTTCCCCTAGGTAGAAGAACTGACTAGACTTGGTCTTCTTGGAAAACCAAGACATGATTCTTTATGAGGAACAGTGATAAAAGACCAGACCCCAACACTGAATGTGATCTTAATAAATTGCTAACAGCCATATTTAAGATATTATCTAAATATAAAAATTCTATGCTTAGACCAAGCCCAAGCTTAGAGCCCACCCCTATCACCTTTACTCAACAGCTGAGTACTAGGTTATCAGAGACTACTTCCTCTGTTATATTTCTTGAATTCCCAAAGAGTAAGATGGACACTGTGTTGGCCATTGCCTCTTCCAAAGGGATATGATCGTCTGGAACTGAAGTGTTCAGTGTTCATTAAAAGACAGATCCAAAAGTCCTTCAATCCAGGACTAGAACAGCAGAAGAAATGGAGTGATAGACAGGTATGCATGGTTTCTCCTATAAATATTGTCAGCAAGAGACACCAACATACACACCTAGACGAGTTCACCTTAAAAACTAAACTAAGGCCCTCCTTAGGGAGCTATATTACTCACTTGATAGCAGTCTCTTTTGTCACATCAGGAATTAGAAGTAAGACAAAATGAGTCTGATAGGTAAAGGAACTTTTGTTGCAGAGGCCAAAGAAATAAGCCAATTTGTATCCTACCTCACTGATTTTATAATAATTGAAAACCACATTATTTGCTTAGAAAGGAAAGGTACCTTTAGTAAATAGCACATTGTTCCTTGAAATACAGTTGTTGAAAACTGAAGAAATGACTTCCAATAAAGGTCTTTAAGTCTTTTTTTTCTTGTATGTTTACAGATAGCTCAAAATTTTATGTGTAACAACAATTTTTTGAGACTAATGGAAAACTGTTGAAAAAAAGGTCGGGGAGAATATAAAACTTGGTATAATTTACTGTAAAGAAAAATCACAAAATGGAAAACATATTTAAACTTCTCTTTCACGGATACATTATTTCAAATTTGAAATTCTAGAAGTCTGATCAGGATGTTGGCCTCCTTGTTCTCAAACATGAACCTAACGTAGTCGTAATCTTCAGAGTGCGGTGCTTGATATTTATGGCAAAGAGCCTTTTCATAGAATATTACAGAAACTCTTCATAGTATGTGTTTAATAGACCAGTTTGGTTTGGCATCAACTTGACATAAACTTTTGGTTATCCAAAGCCCTTAATTGCTTTGAAGTAAAAGCCCAGTGCTGTTCTTTTTTATTAAAATCATGTTTTTTCCTGTTATTGTGGTCTATTTTGGAAGACTGAGTTGTGATTTTTGCATATGTTCTACATAATGCCTCATTAGCAAAAAATCTTGTATCATTTACAAGTAGCCTGAATGTCTGTGTTGTTTTGAACAAAAATCCATATTAAAATTTAAACAATATAAAAATGCACATTTTCTGCTTATTAAAAAGGCCGTCTTAAATTAAATGCAAAGCAGTAACCAGTGAACACATGTACGTGAACATTAAAATCAGAATGATTTTACCTTTTATTGGCTTTTTCAACTCCAAAAATATTTATACTCTTACCAAATGTGTAACTAGTTTGTACTAAGTGGTTTTTTTAGTAAATGTTAGGGTGTTTACCTTCTTAATTAAAAATCATGTAAGTTCCATCATATCCCAGTGGGGGAAATTTAACCTATAAATGTTCCAGACACTCTGACTGGCCCTCTTCCCTTTGGTTGACAGCAGACTGTCATATCTTAGAGAATCCTTTTGCAGCCATGCAGTGTAAGAAACAGCTTGGCTCTAGGGGCTCCATCTTTCCCTTCTAGGCACACACAGGGTTACTTCCTGACACTCTTAAGTTCTTCCCCAGCTTTTTATTTTGAAAAATTGCACACCTACAGAAAAGTCGTAGGAATAGTCACGTGAACACTTACATACATTTCATGTCTTTGTGTATCTGTGAATGACAGAAACCTGTTCTGCGTTCTACACGCACATGCATGAGCACTTTGCTCTCTTCGCCACCCTCTCTCCCTCCTACCCTCCCTCCCTCCCACGCCCCCATCTGAGAGTTAGACACATGTATCATTTCGTTCTCTGTACACTTCTAAGTATCTTCTAGGAACAAAGACATCTTCCTGCATAACCACTGTATAGCTGTCATACTCAAGACACTTGACAATACAGTAGCATCATCTAACACAGAGTCCCTATTCAAATTTCCCAATTGTATCCCTTATAGCTGGTTGTTTTGTTTTGTTTTGTTTTGTTTTCTCAATAGCTGGTTTTGGTTTGTTTAGCTTGGTTTTGATCTAGTATCCAACTAGGGGTCATGTATTGTATTTAATTGTCATGTCTTTTAGGTTTCCTTTATTCCAGAGTGGTTCCCCATTTCCAGCCCATTGATAGTTGTTTGCAGAATGCCCCTCAATTTGTATTTGTCTGATTGCCCGGCCCCCTAATTTAGAGGGCACATCTGGTCCTTGGATGGAAGGGTAACTGGGGCCAAGGATAACCATGCACACATTATTATTACACAGGCAGGTGATCTGTCATTTTTAAAAAATATATCCACCAAGCTTTTGCTGTTGTTTTGAAAACCTTAGAATTTGCCCAGTGGAAAGTATCCCTGTGTTTTTATTATTATTATTATTATTAATTATTATTATCATCATCATTATTGTATCTAAGATTTTTCTGGGATAGCAGCTTGATGTATTTTCTCAGCACTTCATATGAACCACAGAAATTATCACAATTTATAGTAACTAGTGAATTAGTGCATACTTGAAAGTGGAGGGACAGCTAGAACTAGGAATATCTCCGAGGAAGGAGACAACCTAGAAGAACGGGAAGAAGTAATCTCTTAGGATTGGATTTGACTGGTGGCTCCCTCAACTAAGGACTCTGGTCAAATTCTTTACTTCGCTAAGCCTCAGTTAGCTACCTCAGCTGTAAAGTAAAGAGACTGAAATGGGTACGTGGTGCCCTACCGTGTAAACAGCACACTTTCGTCCCTAGGGACCTTGTGTTTCTGAAAGATTTTTATCTACTAAGTAAGCGGTATTTATTAATTTAATCAACTTACTGGGGTTTTTTTCCTTTTATTCATCAAAGACCTATATTATGCCAATTGTTGCTTCCGATAATTGTGAAGTAACCTGCGTCACTGAACTGACGTGGTATAATTTTATCAAAAAATAAAAACAATATAAAACTTTCACTTCAGCAACTTAATTGCTAGTAAACCTACATTTCCCATTGGGCTTTTTGATAAATTGAATGTAATTCTCAGATTCCCACTACTAGTTGGAATCCATTAAACTTGATCTTCAGAATGATCCCTTTTAGAAAATCAGCCAGAATTTCAGTTCTTCCTGTCTCCAACCAGTCCTTGGGAGTGCCTCCTCCATCTTCATAAGAGAGTGATTATTTGCATGTAGAGTGCTTGACAAAACTGTTTCTCTCCATTCCTTGTGGGTATTGAGAGTAAGAAAATATTGAGCTCTGATTTCTGTTTTGACCCACCACCACAAGAAAGGTATGATCCAGAGGCAAATAAACATACACAGACAAATTTTTTCCTTTATGCAATCTTAAATCAGGGAGCATTATTTTCACCTATGAACTCAGGTAGCAGTTTGTCTCTTTTACCTTTCAAATAAACTTTCCTCAGCTCTCTTAGTGAAATTTATTCCATTTAATTTACTAGCAACCTTCTGTAATCTTACTCAGTAGTGTTACCTTGCTAGTGACTATTGTCTGTGTACCCCAGTAAAAGCTATGAATGACCTACATTTCTTTTAACAATACACTTACAGAATGTCTGCCACTGTTTTAAAAAAAAAAAATTATTGTAGAGGTGTTATAAACCTAAAGTTGTTTTCAACCTTATCCCCCAAATTTAGTCAGCCTAAAACTATGATTCAAAGAGAGCCTCTTAAAAAAAAAAAAAAAAAAAAAAAAAAAAAACAGGGAGGCACCTGGGTGGCTCAGTCGTTAACCATCTGCTTTCGGCTCAGGTCATGGTCCCAGGGTCCTGGGGTCGAGCCCCGCATCGGGCTCCCTGCTCACCAGGAAGCCTGCTTCTCCCTCTCCCACTCTCCCTGCTTGTGTTCCCTCTCTCGCTGTCAAATAAATAAATAAATAATCTTTAAAAAAAAGAAAAAACACAAAGAGAGCCTCTTCATTCTGTCATAAATATTTTACTCAACTACTTTCCAGAATCTCATAGCCTAGCTCCTATATCCTACAGCCTCCTCTTCTAAATGGTGATAAATACTACATTATAACATTTTTGTCTCAAAAAATCAAGAGGCTTTCTTTAGCATTCATAAACTCTACAGGAACAAAGAGTAAAATGGTGATGGGCACTGGGGGAGGGAGGTAGTGTGAGAGAGTTGTATGCCTGGGGAATGAAGTATAAGAAACTTTCACTGGAGGAAAGATTTTTGCTTCTCAAGATTTCATATTAGACTATACATTACATAGCTCCACTGAAAGTTTTTCCTTCTCCTGTGTATCTGAGGTTTTAAGTTTCTGGATTTATTATGGCACCCAGTAGCAAAGCTGGAGTCAAGTGTTTTCAAGGCTTCCATTAGAAATTCCTTTTTCAGAATTTTTTGCTTGACTGTTTCCAATTATATGAGGGAAACTTGGCACATAGGTTGTTGAACTGGATTACTTTTTTCAACATAAAATCTAATTTATTTCAGTTTGTTTTTAATCTAGAGATGGGCCAACAACTCTTCCAATAGTTTTAGAAGATTTGATCATAATTCTAAATAATATGTCTATAAAAAAACAAGAAAAAGAAAAGAAACCACATTTTCCAACTTAATTGTCCAAGGTTTTTTGCAAAATCCTTGTTGAAAAATTTGAGAAATTTATTTTTACAAAGCACATAATTAGACTGCTTGATATCTGTTTGCAGATCATTTCACCAAGTGTAATGCAGCATGTATGAATTGTTGCATGACTGTCAGAGTTCATCTGAATGTTTTTACCATGGATTGTTCTTTCTGTTAGAACATCATCATCCTGAAGATTTGATGTTCCCATCACCATGCATGAAAGAGAGCAAGAAAGCATGATGTGGTGGTCACTTAAAACACTGCTTATAAAATTAGCCCCATCTCTGTTTTTCAAAGGAAACCAACCTGAGGCCCTCCTAGTACACAGAGGTCTAGGACAAGCCTCTAAGCACCAACTCTAGCCCCCTCTTGCCTCCATCATCCTCACATTCTTTGTCAGCTTTTTGTGACATTCCTTTCCCTCTTTTCCCTCTCCATCAACCCTTATTTTTTTTTATCCTATTTTATCTATGAAGAATGTTGAGTCGATTGTCAGGTTTGAGATGATTTTCCATTGTACACCTTCCTAAAGGCCAGACCACATTTATCACTTTGTTGATTTTGATCTTTTATGTCTTAGCACTTTCAGCTGAACAGCCGGCCATCCTTTCCTTCCCACCATTACCTTCTAAAAGTATCTAACTATAGGGGTACCTGGGTGGCTCTTGGTTTTGGCTCAGGTCGTGATCTCAGGGTTGTGAGATTGAGCCCTGCGTCGGGCTCCACGCTTAGCTCTGAGTCAGCTTCAGATTCTCTCTCCCTTTGCCCCTCCCACTTGTGTGCTCTTTCTCTCACTCGCTCTCTCAAATAAATCTTTTTTAAAAAATACCGAATCATAATAATGATTCTTACAGATAAAGCCCCTAAAACTGACACTTGAAAATAATCATTAAAGACTTACAGGTGTTGCATTATCCCAGATTAGGTGTACTCTCAAGCAAACTGACTTTTTATTTAAAGGACCACCTTATTTTTGTTGTTCTCTAACTGCTACTGAAGTTGTATTTGTACCCACCTGTTGCGCATTATTATCGTAAAATACTAAGTCACTTTTCTTGGCATTTTGAAAAGTTTAATCTTCAAGGAGTTTGGGAAAATATTCAAGAAAACATCCACCAGTTAAACCACACTGAAAAGTTTTTGAAAGATGCTTACCAGCCTTCGCCTAACAAAGAAAATTCAAAATTAAAACCTGTTATTTCTATGACCTTGTGTGGCTGAATTGATTATTGGAGCTTAATTATTTGTTAATATCATTAAGTAATTATTACCCAAGTATATATATATACATATATATGTATATATATACACACACATAAATGGATATCTTCTTGAAAATACTAAAATACTTAAAAACAAGAAGAATAAAATGTCAGAGACAACTGTAAATATAAGAAAAGACTTGAAATTATTTGAATAGCATTCTGTCCTTCCATGTCAATAACTGTCACTCACCATTGGGTGGTCAAGCCAAGTAATTCTGGGGAAAGCAGATTAAGTTATATTTTGACATCTAATTATGAAAAAGTGAATATCTTCTTTATTAGACTTATGTAAAATATATTTTCCCTTCATATTATAATTTTTTAAGTGAGTAAAGAGCATGCTGTGGGGAAGAATAGTGAGTGTACTGCTGAATGTGTGCTCAGAACTACTAGATAACGTGTTTTAGACACATAATTATTTTAACATTGTGTTAAGACTGTATCCTGGGTAAGATCCAGGTTCTTGGACTTGTTTATCTTCTGTGTGAGGACAACTAACTGTCCGATGCCAAAATACAATGAACTTTCAAATATCAAAGAGGAAAATTAAGTATTTCAAGTCCTCAGCTGGTTTACAGATGTGTGAGCTTTGTAGTCCATTTTCTGGTTCCAGTAGGGCATTGTGACAATTTTTCCAATATGTGTATATTAGATAAGTTTTGGAAGTAAAATTACTTACTTTAAATCCTGAAATAAGTTTCTGAATTTAAAATTTTTATGTTTATTTTTTTAAAGAAATGAAGTCTAAAACTGAGCTTCACAATTTTTAAAATACTTTTGAATGTAAAACGTATGAAATTAAGGAGCCTTTCTCTGTTGGGAAAGTAAATGTCTTTTGAAAACGGATATTCATTTAGATCCATGATTAACCTTTAACAAGATCTTCCTGTTAAATTCTACATTTGCTTTAATCTCAGTAGGAAAAATACAAACTAGTATTGCAGCATATAGAGTTTCTATATACCCTGTGGACGTTAAATGATCTCTTCCAGCTAAAGGCACATCTGCAACATATTTAAATGCCAGCTTTGGGCATTATTAGTATAAAATGCTAAGTCACTTTTTTTGGGAAATATTTTGAAAAGTTGAAACTCCAGGAGGAAACTCCAATAAATGGTAATCTTATGATACCATTTGTTTCAAGGGAGTGGTAGGAAGATGAGTGGCTGTCTTTCATATTTTTCTCTTAGGGAAAAATAGTATGATCGTCCTCCTTAAAATAAGTATGAAGTTTGGGGGTTGGGAGGATTGCTGTGCTATGGACTGATGTCCTTTTGCACCATCTTTCAGGATGCTGTAAAAGGGTTTTAAGTGCTTATTATCAGTTGTTGTAGAGGAGACACAGGTCCTCAAATTTGAGTCTCCCTTCAAACTCTGAGAGTCTATGAGTATAGAAGTTAAAGAACAATGATTGGTTGGTTTTTTTTTTTTTTAAGATTTTATTTATTCATTTGAGAGAGAGAGTGAGAGAGAGAAAGAGCACAAGAGGGGGGAGCGGGAGAGGGAGAAGCAGACTCCCCGCCGAGCAGGGAGCCCGACGTGGGACTCGATCCCGGGACTCCAGGATCATGACCTGAGCTGAAGGCAGTCGCTTAACCAACTGAGCCACCCAGGCGCCCTGATTGGTTGGTTTTAAATAATAAATCTATCCTAAGTGTATAATAAACTAAAAATCTAGGTAACGTTTCAATGAAAAATTGTGATTCAACCACAGATTTTTTTTCTTTTGCCTTGCATTTTTTTACTCTGTCTCTCTTTCTTAAACACATTGTTGAAGGTCAAACATTCGGGACAATGTAGAAATGATTAAGCTTCATAAACAACTAGTGGAGAAAAGCAATGCTCTTTCAGTAATGGAAGGAAAATTTATTCAGCTTCAAGAGGTACTGTGATCATTTATTTTATTATGGTAATACATAAATACAAAGTTATCTATGTGTATACATAGTGTATACATAGATACGCTATCAAAGATAGTGTTTAAGTTGTATTTTTTAAATAGAATGCTATTAACACTAAAAAGTTATTTTTAAAGATGCTCTTTTTCTTAAATGTGTATGATTTCACTTCATATATTATTTGTAATTTATAACTTAATGACTAAAGAAATAACTGCTTGGACTTTTCATAAATATCTGTGTCATCTCAAAATAAAACCTATTTATCATATATTATCTCATGCCAAGAAAATGTATTTTTAACTCCTTTTATCTGAATTCATATGGGCGCATAGCACTGGTTAGATGTATTTCCATCTATCTTCAATTATAAGCATTTATGAGATATCCAAGATAGATCAAGTTAAAAATACGAGTAATCAGGTTTTGTTCAATGTTTCTTTAATGTGTTCTGTTTTGTCACTATCTACCATTATCACAAAATATTTGAGTACCCATCATGTCAACTATCAGGGTACTTACTTTAAATCTTGACCATTCAGGTTGACAATACTTGGGACTCTTCATCCCGGCTGCCTTAGGACTGTGGCCCCACAGGAATGTGCCATCAGAAGATTCCTATTTATTGGCACTGCATAATTAACATAAGTTCTGGAATTAATGAACTCCAAATCATTCCAGATGAGCAGAACTCATATTAAGCAGTACTTTCTTTGAAGTACTGAGACAAGGAAAGCAGTAAATGGGTGGAAAGCATAGGGTCTTCTGAAACCTAAATTTACTATTGAATTAGATAAATATTTTAAAAATGTATTCTGGTTAGTGTTTTCCCCCCTGATTAAATGTGAAGTAATAACTGCCTTCCACATAAATGTGAGAGTTTATGAAAGAGAGAAGAGGAACTGGAGAATGGAGATAATAGCACTGTCTGCCTATAGGTAGAAGAGGGAGATTAAGAAAACATGGAGCTGAGGGCTGTTTCTAACATGGGGAATTAGGAAAGGAAATAAAAAGCGAGCTTACCTTCTTTTGTCACTTTGACCATTTTGGCTTCCATTTAACAGTGCTGCCAGGTATTTGTTCAAAGCCCTTGTTAGGTCAAGTGTCTGCCACGACACAGGTTCTTCTCCGAGGGATTGATATTGGGTAAAGATTTGAGAGGTTCAGACCAACAGCTTCAATGAATGAGGTAGGAAGCCCAGGAAAAGCTGGTTAAAGATAGCGTGCTCTGATAATACCAAGATTAACAAAAATTGGACTCATAGCCATGTCTCCTTTAAGTGATTGGAGAACTTCAGTAGAATGTAAGTGAAATTAGTTAGCAGATGAGCCATTACATGTTATGGTCGTATGGTCTCTGTGAAAAGACTTTAGTATGATCATCTTTTTATCTCTTAAAAAAAGCATGAGGCATTTAAGAACATACATTTGAATTTAAAACATTCATAAATGCCATTTTAAAAATTAAGAAATTGGGATGTCTGGCTGGTTGGGTCAGAGTGGTGAGTTCAGGCCCCACGTTGGGCATAGAGATTACTTAAAAATAAATAAGTAAAAATAAAAATCTGTTGTAAAAATTAAGAAGACTTCGGTAACTATTTTACTGAATTGAAAATTTCAACCTAATTGTATTAAAACAACCTTCTGTTAGGCTGTTTATGTGCTGTGGTGACAAATCCTTTCAAGTTTGATTATCTATGGTCAGCATTTATTTTGACCCATGTGGCAGCATTTTTAGACAGCATGTCCAACCACTGTAACCACAGCAGAAAGAAAAAAAAAAAATTGCTAAAACTAATTTACTCACTGGTCACTAATCAACCAGTCAAAAACTAGGAGGAAATAAAATAAAGGACAAAAAGTTTGCATTATGTGACTCTGTGCTAAGAAAACTCTGTATTTTTTTTCCCCTAATGATACACTTGGGTCAAGAGTGTCTCCATGGACAAGTAGCACATATACATTGTGAGGTGAAGAATGAATTGTATAATGTGAGCTTTAGGAGTAAATTCACTTATAAAATTGTAATCACTTATTTAATGCAGAATCCAAAATTAATTTAAAAAAGATTCTGTTTTTTAGAAGCAAAGAAGTCTCCGGATCAGCCATGATGCCTTGATGGCAAATGGGGATGAACTAAACAGGCAACTCAAAGAGCAGCGTTTAAAATGCTGCAGTCTTGAGAAACAGTTACATTCCATGACATTTTCTGAAAGAAGAATAGAAGAGGTAAGCTCCGAAAAATTTATTAGCCGTTCCTTGCATTCAAACTTCTCTGTCACTGTTTCGAAAAAGTAAAATAGAGACGTTCCAAATAGTACATTTATTTAAAGATCCTAAACTACATGACAACTCAGTGCCTACAAATATTTACAAATGTGCTGATAACCACTGTTTACCTAAAGGATTGACTCTTGAGGAAAAAGAACACATAACATTTTGCAACTTACCTGTGGAACTTAACTTTCTCAACCTTAACATCTGATTAGCCATTTGAGATACCAAGACCACATTAGACGAATACACATCTGTTTCTGAAGAGAAGTATATTGTGTTCTACAACGTCAGCAGTTCTGTGAAATTATTTCCTTTTTTTTCTAGGAAGTTGTTTGAACACTCATCTCTCTATTATTGTTGCTACTCATGCCTCCCAGCTAGCACAGTCTCTTTCTGTCGTCTTTTAAACTTGTTCTTAAAGAGAATGGCAATGAAATAAGATGCCTACATTCTGTTCTGATCTTTAGAGAATCCTTACTGTGTCTCAAACTAGCATCAAAAGGGAATTATGAACATGGAAATGAATTTTAAGAATACTGACCCACGGGAAAAGGTTGTAACTACAAAATATACTGGTGAATAAAACTTAAACATGAATGCTAGGAATAAATACAGAAAGCTACATTTTAGTCATAAAGCTATGATGGTTATCCTGAGTTTATTTCTAAAAATATTCATTAGGATAAAACAAGGTATACGATTTTATTTATTCATTCATTCATTTAGAAGATGTGCTACTGGATCTTTGTAAATTCCAGGTAACAAAAGAAATTTTGTCTTCAGAGTGAATTGTGATTGACACAATTTGTTTGAACCATGAACCAAAAGAAAAGTTAATCCTTTTATTTTTTATGGGCCAATTGAAAATTAATACAAAATGAATATAATGATGGAATTCATCAGGGAGGAAAGTAAAAAATACTATGTTTCCCAGACTTCACAGCAAACTTTTAACACATTCTTTATTGAGTTTTGGCACATGTCACCATAAAGCAATGCATATGTTTCTACTAAATTAAAACAGAAATATTAATTTCATGTTTACTTAACAACTTGGAAAAAAATCAATGCTAAATTAAATACAGACAATAAAAGTTGACTAGTTAGCAGCTGCAATTTAGAAGTCAAGACTAAAACATCTTAGCCTCCTCTCATGTTATTTTACCCCTGTGTGATTTTATTCGATAATCACCTAATGTGTCATTTTCTTTTCATTTTAGCTGCAGGATAGAATTAATGATTTAGAAAAGGAACGGGAACTTTTAAAGGAAAACTATGATAAACTTTATAACAGGTAAATCATGATTACATGTGTTCTCTCATTCTCTTGTTTGAGATCTTATATATCAAAGCAGTGGGTGTCAGAATATCTAATATTTATTAAAGAATTAGCAATGGATGATTGCAAAAAATATATATATGTTATAAAAGAAAAATAAGCTTTTTCTAGGCATTGGTAAGAAGTTCTTTAAGCTGAGCATTAGTCTATTACAAGAAAACCATATCACTTTGTTGCCAGTAACAATTGCTATTACAATTTATTGAATATAGACTGTAAGCAAGCAGGCCCTGTGCTAACTACTCTTTAATACATTATTATAAATTTCTCACAACAACCTGGAAATGTAGGTAGTGTAAATGCCCATTTTGCAGGCAATGAAAATAAAACAGAATTAAGTAACTTGCCTACACTCTTCAAGGTCTCTCCAAGCCCTGGTCTCTTCCACTGGGCTACCCAGCCTATTAGCTGAGAGTGATCCTCTTAGTGGAAAACAAAGGTGTCCACTTACAATCATCTCTGTTCCTTATAAAAAGAAACATAAGTATCTTTATCTCAAAATAAATTTGTTTAAGTTTACTTATATAAATAATCTCTACACCCAATGTGGGGCTCAAACTCATGACCCCGAGATGAAGAGTCGCACGCACTTCCAACTAAGGCAGCCAGGCACCCCTCAAGATAAATTTTAAAGAGCTACTTCAGTTTAGTTTTTTAATCTACTTCATGGTGATGGTATTTTAAAAATTAAACCCTTCTGATAATGTTAGAAACAAAATTCTATACCGCAGCTAAGCTTAGTTAAGCAGTTCAGATATCTATGTGTATGTGTTTGTGTCTGTGTATACATGTGTATTTTTAAGTCTTTTCAATATATAATAACTGATAAAGGATAAATACAAATTTACATGAAAGTAAATTTAATACATATATTGGAAGATATGTGTTAGAGCTGATATTCAACAGTTGCTTCTATTGATCATATTCTGAAACATCAGAAAGTGGCCATCTGATGTACAGGGACACCTCTTTTTAACTGCATGTTTTGGATGTTTTATAAACTAAATTTACATTTTATAAATTAAGCAAATCATACCTAAAGAGTGCAGGGTTAGGCTTTTATTTATTTTTACTTTGAAAAGATACCTAGATAATTGTTAGACATCATTCCAGTGGCATGGATCATCTATGTTGTTTACCTACTACTGTTGATTATCTTTGCACAGTGGCTCATTATATTAAGAGTTATCAATAGCAGATTCAGACATCAATTAAAATAATACCTAGGGCTTTCCAGCAAGGATAGGCTAGCTAAAAATCTTTATGTGGGATCCACCTTGGACCCCTTCCAGATCATTTGGCCTTATTTGCTTTGTTCTGGCTTCTTTCTCATCAGCCCCGATTAATTTTACCTAAAGCATTTATTATGCTTCCTGTTTTATATTTTCATTTCTATAGAACAATACAAGGTTTATATTGATATATCTAAGTATTTAGTAGTTACGTGTTCGAAAATTCCAAATTTCAGTATGTAGATCACACAACCACTGCATTATAGGGCAGAGAAAATAATGTTATCCCCATATTTTAGAAATGAGGGAACTGAGACTCAAGAAAAATTAAGAAACTTGTACAGATTCACACAGCATTGCTGAGACTCCAGTATAGGACCCAAACCCAATTCTGTTGACTCTAAAACTTGAATTTTTTTTTCACTGTGCTTCACTATCTCTCTGATTTTAATTGCATTGGAAAACTGATTCTGTGGAAGGGAAATGTTCATGGAATAATAGAACTACCATACATCCAGAATTTTTTATTGATTTATATTTATCTTCAACATCTTGTAATTTCAAATAATTTAACATGGTCTTAATACAAGAAAATAAGTGCCATTTGGCCATTACTTATACATTTTCTACTTCCCAATTTGAGGATTTACTGAATATACCTTCTGGGAATAAAAAACATTAAACTTCGCCGGGAATAATGCATAAATGAAATTTTGAGGGAGACATGTTTTTCTCATATTTACTTTATCACCATGAAACTTTATCTCTCCATATTAGAAGATGATCTGAGAGTGTAAATCTGACTTTGAAGGGTTTTTTTAATGTTTTATGCTTGAGCTACATTTTTTTCCTGTCACATTAAAAACAGACTTTGTTATACTGCTTACACTTGAATTTTGTGTGAGATATATGGAAGTAAATGTGTGTAATGAGTGTCAAAACATTTTGTGCCAAAAATAAACTTAATGTCACTTAAGCACAAAACCCAGCAAGCACATATGATAGGAAATAGAACCATAAAATTCTCTAATACAAATTTTTAATATATAATATGTTTGCAGAAGCAGAGTTGGAGAAGCTTCTACAAAAATCATCGTTGTCCTTAAGATTCTTTACAGCTTTTGTGTTTCATGGCACTGTTATTCATCATTGCCAACAACTAGTGCTCATCAAAAACTAAATAAATTTTACTCCCTGTTTGGTTAGTCATAGTGATAGCATGTTTTTTAAAGGAGAGCATTTGTTTGTTATTCAAAATTGGCTAGTTTTCAGGAGAAAAATATGATTTGCAGATTACATTCTCATCTTCCTTTTCCAAATGAAATTTTGAATGTGTTTATTACTTGACATATGGCATATTAGAGAATCATCTGGTAAGATAAAACCCTCATGTTAGCATTTGGTATGAGCTTGTTTTAATATGCGAGAACATTTTTGATACAATGCCAAGAAATAAGTATAACTTTAAGAAATAGTCCATTTAAAAATTCATAATAAACTTTTTGCAGTTAAGTCTGTGTGGTCAGAGAGAAACTTTATACTACAATATTGTAAAGCTATGTCCCATTTTTAAAGTTAGTATAGTTTTAGGGTGGTGTAACTGATGAATACAATAGTCCTTCCACTATAGTATATATGAATAACCTGGAAAACAGCAAAATGTAGGTTTCACCACCTTTGGAACCTCCCTCCCCTGCCTCCCACCACCATCCGATTCAGATTTAGTCAGTTTGGGATAGGATCCAGAGAATCTGTTAGAGGTGATTTTAAAAGGTATTGACTCCCAAAGAGACACTCATCTAATACCTGCTTTTAAAAAAGAGTTGGTCTAGTTTTTGAAGATGGTATTAACTGTTTAAGAATTGGTTTCTACTATGTAAATTGTAGGCATCTATTATCCAGAATTTAATGGAGCTCTGCTGACCACCCATAGACTCTCTGGGCTCCATTTCTGTGAAGTGAGCACCTGTCCCGTGCAATCTTCTAGGAACCATGAAAGCTCATGCGATCAAACGGGAGCACTTGGTGCTTCCCAGAAATCAAACTGAGTACATTTGGAGCATCGTTTTCTTTCAGTACGTGAGATATCCCTATGTAAATACGTATTTAATTTCCATTAGGTCCTAACTAAAGTACCTATGGATTTCTTTGTGGATGACGTAGAGCTTATCCTTCCCTCTCTCTCACATTAGGTTGCCCTTAGACATTGGAATACGTGGAATTTCTTCTGTAAGAAAAAAGGCCTTAGGGTGGAGACAAATTCTTCCACTCTTATTTCTGTCTGATCATGTTGTTGTTCAGCAGTGTGGATGCTGACCCATGACTGCCAGTGGGTGGCCATGCAGTGACCACAGGCACCAGTGGGCATTCGATTGACATTTTCTCACTTCTGCAACAGAATGTAACAATGAAATGTGCACACAGACCAACTGTGATCCCCCCCCCCGTTGTCACTGTAGGCAATATACAAAAACATTTTCATGAATAAAAGGTTCTCAAAGACTGTTCTCATATGCAGATTTAATCATGTACACAGCCTTTACAAAGAAAACGGAGCCAGATGTGGTTCTCCATTTATAGTTACACAGACGGCTCCAAGCATAGAGGAGTACAGTAAATTCAAAAGGAATTCCTCATGAAACTCCAGTGGAATGTAATCCTAAATTTAGAGGGAAGATAGCAGTGGACCAAATTCAGATTGACTTACGCTGATTTACACTAGTATTTTGTGGGTTTGGAAAAACCAGGCTGCTAAATTGTTCTTAATTTAAACACATACAGCTTCTGATGTTTCTGCCAGATTAACTGTTGGTGATCTTTTTGCTGGTACTAATGCTATTGGAACACTACTGTTCCCAATTTTTGGCGTCTGATATGATGTATAATTGTGCCTACTTCATCATGCTAATTTTTTTTCCGGGTAGTACATGTTTTTAATACAAGACACAAACACACACACATACACACACGTGTGTGTGTTTAGTTTACATAATTTGACCAGACACAAAAATTGTATTTGTTCTTTATTTTAAAAAGTGAAAATGTAAAGGAATATTCTTTAATATTTAAAGTGCATACTTTGTTTGGATTTCATGTAAGTTTAGGTAATTGTACCTCTGATAAAATTAACTTGAAATACTGGTATATAGGTCCATGCATTTCTTAAGATTCCATATGTGAAATGAGAACATTGATAGAAGGAACAGATTTCATATTTAGAGAAACTTCTAGAATTCCATTTATTTTTATGTTCATATTATTTTAAATGCAATAAAAATATTCAAAATGTAAAATAGACACACAATTCTTTTCCTTTGAAAGCTATGCCTCCCAGAATAGTATCTCTCTTGGAATAAAACCTCGAGACTAGCTGGGAGCAACATTAAGGGCAATTTTCAATAACAGGTTTTTCTTCCATTCACTTCATCATCAGTACAAAACCAGATTTTATAAATTTTTGTTTCATTTACCAGGTTTAAAACAAGGAGAAGGGTCAAAGCTGCTGATAATTATTCAGTCAAATCAAGCTTCGCAGATAATAGTTTTCTGCTGAAATACAGATCAAGATCAGTTTTTCCAAAACCTGGCTATCACCTGGGGAAGCTTTATAAAACTATGAATTCCTGGGCTCCAGGACCTTCATTTTTAAATCTCTCTGAGTGTTTTCAGTGCAACTGGTCTAGCACCAGTGTTCAGTTTATCAGCACTGGCGCAAATAGATGCTGGGATTTCATCACTAGTAGATTGTAACGAGAGTTTAAACTGCTGCACTTTTACTGAGGAATAACATTTCTGTCTTCATCCTTCTTACCAGGGTGTTCTCGCTGGGTTTTCATCCTAGTCGTGAACAAAGTAAAACTTTGTTCTTAGTCTGTTGTTGCTGTTTGTGTTTTAGGACAAAAACTACATTATCACTACTTCTTCACAGCAGAATTACTGTCTCAACGTTCAGTGTGTTATCATTTCATGGCCAGAATTTTGTGAATGTGTTATTAGCACAGACTCAGTAAAAGTTTCAGATCTTAGCAGTGAAGATCAGGTGGCGAGCCCCTGTTCTCTGTATTAAGAGGGTTTGTATGTGGGAGAGAAGAGTTTTATCTGAAGCCGATGGCTGAGGTTTGGAATTGCGGATTCCTCTGGAGTGTGTACAGTATCTAAATTCCTTTACTAGTCCCACAAAAGCTGCACACTGCCAACTTCTCTGACTGTAGAGCTCTAAATTAAGGCCAGTTCCTTTGCTCATCCCACAAACCCTTTCATGTTTGCTAACCGCAGCCTGAGAAAGGCGCCTTGGTTTCAACAGCAGCAGACCAGCATATGTTTACTTAATTCCTAAGACATGATGACAGTGGTCTCTGTACCACTAAAAGCTTTTCTCTTTCGTATTTTCGGTCGAGGCCGATTTCCAGGCTCTCCTTGCATGTCATGTGTGTTTTTGCAGTGCCTTCAGTGCTGCCCACGAAGAGCAATGGAAGTTCAAGGAACAGCAGCTGAAAGTACAGATCGCTCAACTCGAGACTGCCTTAAAATCTGACCTAACAGACAAAACTGAAATCCTTGACAGATTCAAAACTGAAAGAGGTACACATAAAACAACTACTGAATTATTCATTTCAGACATCTGTGTTACTCCTGGTTATTCACCGGCTCAGTCAGCGCCGACTGTGGCGCCTACTGTTTTGCCAGGCACCTTGCTCCATGTAGGGGACATCGCTTGCATTAACAGCCATCCACTTTCATGAGTTTATTGGTCGCTCAAAATTTCCATTTACTCAGCCTAGCATATACGCCAAAGGAGTTATTTCTTCACCAGAGATACTTTTATTCAGGTTGCCTTTCATTTGTTTTGTTTTGTTTTGTTTTCCTAAATGTCAAGCCTTGCTGTATTCAGCAGTCGACAAGCATTTATTGAGCCACCAGTATGTGCTAGGCACTGTTCGAAGTTCTGGGGGACACAGCAATGAGTAAAACAAAAGCCTTGCCCTCATGCAACATAAATTCAATAGGGAGAAACTGACAATAATTAAATAAATGTGCAACGTGTCAGGTGGCGGCAAGTGCAGTGGGAATGAAAACAAAGCAGCGTAAGATGACAGAGGAGCAGAAGTAGTTGCTTGCTAGTTTTGGTAGGTCGAACAGGGAAGATCTCTGTGATAATTAGATGTCTAAATCTACTCTGTGACAGTGAACTTAAATACCAGGAAGACTTGTCAGGATGTCCCTGTTAAAATAATAATCATTAATAAGTTTCATATACGAGTCACAGATCTCACCCTTCTCATCTCATGGAAATAAAATAATTATAATTAAAGTAGATGTCTGATTTACTAGATTATACACACAAATGCACAACAGGGGAATTGAATTATTTGTTTCAAACGTTGTATCTGTTGCTCATCCACTACATAAACCAAGTGATGTGATAATAAGGTTGCTTCTTTTGAACATTTGCGATTCTGTTGCATGAGAGCATTTCAAAGTTTAACGCAGGCTCAGTTAAAAAATAAAAATTACATATCTTGTCAGTACTCTATATATTGATTTAGATCACAATGCCATATTTTATTAACTATAAGAGAGATTTTTTTTTTTCCCATTTTGACATCTCAAGTTGTGATGCATCTTGTAAATGATAACATTTTAAAATTATGGCCTGACCTTTTTTAATATTTTAAGAAGTCTGAAATCGATGTAGTCTTAATTTCGGTGAAACACATAAGCAGTATTTATCTACCAAGTGATTGAATTTTATGAAAAATTATTTATGAATTTTTCTTGGGAATATTGTGAGTAGAATAAGATGATGACATGATTTGTGACTGGGTGGGTATTTAAAAGTTTTGATGTCAAAGATATATAGTTCCTGACTTTCATGTGATACTTAACAGTGCTTTTGTTTAGTAGCTGCTCAGTAAATACTTGCTGACTGAAGGAAGCAGAAGCGCTCTGTATTCCCTGTTTTCCGAAGACAAATATAAACTGCTCATTCTTAAAGGAAGAGAAATGAAAAAAAACCTCTCTTATTTCTGTGCTTTCTGTATTTCCCTAAATATTAAAAATTCCAAAGCTCTTTATCTCTAAACATCTGAATTGGTCTCTGGAAAGAAACTCTTAAGGAGATAGAAACTTGGTGGGCTTTTTTTTTAAACCTATCTGTTGTTGTTGAATTAATTCCAAAGCTTCTTTTAAATGATTAAAATTACAGTTGCTAAGTTATTTTAAACCACCATTAATCCATTCCTCATCTTTTTTTTACTAGTTTTTATGTCTTTTTAGGATTTTTTGAATGATTAAAAATAATTAATGTATAACATTAAAGTTCAGTAAACAAAAAAAAACTTTCTAAAAGTCATTCAATCACACAACCACAAGATAATCACTATTAATATTTTTATGTGTGTCCTTCCAGAGTTGTTTCTATATGCGTAGATACTGTTTTATAATGTGCTTTTTTATTTACTCTATTATGAAATCGTTCCTGAGTATAAATGTAAATCCACATCATCATCATTTATAATGGCTGTCATAGTTTTCCATGTGAGGATGTACCAAAGATTGTTTAACAGTCTTCTGTGGATGAATTTTTAAATACCTTCCATTTTTTTAAGTATCATAAACATCTTTCTACACAAATCTTTACACGTTTATTCATATGTTTTGTTAAGAAAAATTGCTAGAACTGAATCTTTTTAATACAATTGTTATTTTAGTTATTTCGCTTGACTACCTGAAATGTATAGATCTAATGATTTAGGTTTGGGGGTTTTTTGTGAAAATGTTACAATAGATTATAAGAAAAATATTACAGTCTTGAACCATTTTTTCCAGGGAAATACTAAACAAAAAGAACTGAAATGATCTGTATGAGGAAGTCTTTTAATATTTAGAAAGTTCCTTTTTGTATTACAGATCTTGAAATTGTTTCATTTTACTTTGAAGTCTCTTCACACATTTACCTTTTCATGTATCAAGTGTTCCTTGCCAGAAGATGTTTCCCTGGGTTCTTAGAGTCATTCATCTAACTGGCAAATTATTTTTAGAGAATACTTACCTCTTTATTCAAGGTACAAATTAGTTTCAGATTGTGTGAATATGTGGGAGAAGGATATGTAAATGCAGTTTGCATTTGGTTAATGCTTAAATTAACTGCATGTGTTTAAAGGCCCTGCTTTTGAAAGTTCCTTTCTATCTTTAGCTGAAATGCATAATTCAGCATAATGCATATGGTTATATTGATCACAGCTGAAGATATTAGCACAAAGGAGCTCTGAAAATTGTTTAGTTGAATTGTTCTCTGCACTCTGCTTATTAATGGTGTGCTTGAAGAACATAATTTTGAAAGCGTAAAATGTTATCTCATTTAAATAAAATGCTGTTTAGCTTAACCTGCTTTTTGTCAAATCATAAGGTAAAGAGGTTATTTTTCATCTTGTACAGGATGCTTTGATTTTTCATATTATAATTCAGCAAGTCTATCTCTTTTTTGAACTACAGCGTCTCCGTGCTTTTTAAAGAGCCAGGAGTTCTATCCCCAATAAACAGTTTGAGAAAGGAAAAATGTTGCGGATAATTCTACATAAAATTTAGTAGAGAGAAAGGTACTGGTATTTAGTAATGTCATCTTCCACTAATAAGTTATTTTCTCAGTAATAACACCCTAGGTTTAAAACGATCAATGAAACGGGGACGTTGTTGTGGAAACAGAAACCAGCAAAGGAAGAAACATTTGAATAAGTTTATTTATACCTACTAGCATATCATTCTTAGGACCCTGCTCTGAAATATTGAAAGAATAGAAAAATTAGAGCATAAAACTAGAAATCAAAATACACTGTCTGGATGAAGGTGGAGTAATCATGTCCTTTACCCTTTACCTCATTCTCAAAACCCGTAACACTTCTTGCAGGCCAGAGAAGGAAATTATATCATCCTCAAGACCTTTGGTTTTACATTTTTCTTACTGTATTTACCTTCTTTCTGTTACCTAACCATTCCTATCTAGATTTTTTTAACCTCATAAAATAAAGCATTCCGCATTCTTATTCTACTCTGTAACCGAAAAAGTTGTTTATCTCCTCTACAAATTCGTATTTATTATTAATCCTAATTTTTAGTTTAAAGACAGGTATTTGACCCTTACCTTCAAAATTTCCAAATACTGTTCTCATTTGGAAACTCTCTCATTTAGGTCACTGAGTATTAGCAATTTATCCTCTAGTATAACCTTTTAACCTTTTATCGATAAGATGAAAAAGGTTTATATATTTGATATTAAAATGTCTCTGCATACCCCAGAGTCACAGTGTTTTTCCCTTTTAGTTTGCCAGGAAATATGTGACATTAAAAATATCCAAATTTAGTCCCCTTCTTCTTAATTGTGTAATTTACGATTTTCACTTACATGTAGCATTTCTAGCTGGGGAACACAAAGCATTATAGAAGTCAGAAATGTATTTTTGTATAAAATGCATTCAGTGTGCAAATATATTCATGTAAGGAATTCTTGGCAAATGTGTTGGCTTTTTTGTAAGAAATGGAAACAAAAATGTACAACTTGAATTGAGGACTTTTGATAAACACAAATCTGTGAAAATAGGATGAGATCAGTGGAGACACTTTGGATGACATGGTTTAGAGCTAGGCTACAGGGAGCCAAAAAGGATACTTGACCCCCACAATGAACTCTGTTGAAGAGTACGCTTAAGAACATGAGACTAAAGAATAAATTTGGTAGCTAGCTTTTTTTTTTTTCTTTTAAGTTAAGCATATGTTTAATGCAGGGAGTAAAAAATTAGTCTCTTTATGGATTTACTGTCTCCTGTAGCTCTACCCTGTGCTGTTGCTTATGGGTTCAGGCGAATGAGTGTCTGGGCGAATGTAACCTATCTCTACTCCTTAACAAGAGCTCTGGGTCCATGTCCTACCAATTAACAGCACGAACTCAATGAATAAAGAGCACACATGAATTATTACTGATGCTACCATGCACACTGGCTGAGAATCCATTTCTCCTATCTTAACAGATTTGTTCAAAGTGTAGTTGATTAAAATTATGGGTTTAGTTATTACCAGAGAAATTATGTTGTTTTAATAAAAGGACTTTATGCTAAATTGGGAAAAGAAAACTTAAGGAAGTCGATTAAAACACTAAAAGACAAAAACAAATTTTTTTGCATGCCTTTCAGGACCCTTAATAAGTAAGTAAAAATCATAGATTTAGAAACATATTTTCTTAGGTATTTAGATAGAATGTTCCTTTGAAGTCCCAGAGGCCACAATTTCCTTGTATTAATGCTGTGAACTTAAGTCTTCAGTTTTTGATAAGCAACTGGATCATATGGTAGACACATGATAGTGTTCATTTGTTCCTCATTCTCTCACTGCCTTTGTCTAGGTGCTAGCACAATTTCCTCTCTGACCAGAGCAATACTAGTTTGAGCTTGGTGTATATCAGGAATTAAATTAATTTTAAATGCGTTCTTATGCCTCATGCTCTCTTACCTTTCTAATTGTATCAACTTTATTTTTAAGACCAAAATGAGAAACTCATTCAAGAAAACAGAGAACTACAGTTACAGTATCTGGAACAAAAGCAGCAACTTGATGACCTTAAACACCGCCTGAAGTTTTACAACCAGGTGAACTATTTTCTTATTTAGGAAATAAACGCCAAATTTTTATCTCAATATTTTATGCCAGGAGGAAACTATGCTGCAAAGCAAAAGATTACAAATGTATTACTTAGTTTCTTAATTCATGGTTATTAAGCAGTTTACACTTCAGGGGAGATTCTGAATAGTTGGAATGTCTCTTATACTTAGTTTCTTAATTCATGGTATCAGGCAGTTTATGCTCCATGAGGATAATCTGCATAGTTGGAATGTCTCTTGTACTTTTCATTAATATCTCATTGTGAGCTTTTACTTACTCTGTCTTTTGCAGGAGAGTGATATTAATGCTGATGAATTGAGTGAAGCTCTCCTGCTTATAAAGGTAACTTTCTGAACTTCACCATGAATTTCATGTCTACATATAACTGTTTCAGCATAATGATGACCCTTGTCTGTAACCCTTATACTTGGAGAATGAATTATTCAGGAAAGTGGTCAGGTGACATTTAGTTACAGCATATACATATTTCATAATGACATCAAAATTACATTAAAATAGACCTCAAAAACTCTTATTTAAAGCACTTTCTCCAACTGTAACAAACATTTCACTTTTACACACCTCACTATAAAACTAATCAATAATTTTCTGTCCTAAGAGACCTTGGTACACCCTATTATCTTAAATAAAATATTGAATTATAAATGTTACCAGAAGATATTTTTCAGTCCTAGGATATTCTGTTATTTATAAGAAGACACGAGAAAATACATTTCTTTCCCTTTAGATCAACACAGTGTAGCTTTTAATCAGTTGAAGAAATGGAAATAAAGGTACATGATTCTTCTTTATGTCATGAAGTAATAAAGTGTTTTTTGAATTCTCTGTAATCGTTCCAGATGACTATCCACATATATTTTCTGTATCAGGATGGTTTTGTTCCTGATGGAAAATGGAAATATATCTGTTTTTAATTAATGATTATTCTTTGCTATATCTATATTAATTCACATGATACGTTTTAGAAACTGTTATTTCAGTAATAAAACATGTTTTTGTTTTAGGCTCAGAAATCACAAAAAAATGGAGACCTTTCCTTTTTAGAGAAAGTAGACAATAAAATTAACAAAGATCTAGAACGCTCCATGAGAGAGCTACAAGCAACTCATGCAGAAACAGTGCAAGAACTTGAAAAGACACGAAACATGCTGATTATGCAACATAAAATTAATAAAGATTATCAGGTAATGTGCTGCACGAAGACAGGAGAACAGGCTTCCTATGATATTCTACTGATGATTTACTTTTCTAAGCAGTATTATGTATTATCATCGGTTATAATCTCTTACCATGTATTACCACAAGCTGGAATTTGGCCTTGTAACTAGGTGCTTAGAGTAAATAGTTTAAAAATAAATAATTTTTTTTTTAAAGATTTTATTTATTTATTTGAGAGCAAGAATGAGAGAGAGAGAGCACATGAGAGGGGGGAGGGTCAGAGGGAGAAGCAGACCCCCCGCCGAGCAGGGAGCCCGATGCGGGACTCGATCCCGGGACTCCAGGATCATGACCGGAGCCGAAGGCAGTCGCTTAACCAACTGAGCCACCCAGGCACCCAAAAACAAATAATTCTTTAAAGGCCCTGGTTTTAGAGCAGAAACAGCAGCCATGAATTTACCTGTGCTGTATTAGCACATCGTGCGAATGCATCGTAGCTCTCCTGCCACAACCACATGTTATCTTAGCCTTTAACAAACAGGAAAATTACCCCCAGGAGAAGGAATCTGGGGTCTTGTTAATTTTGTTTCTGATTTAAGAACATTGCCAAGCATAATTTTCTAAACTGTAAGCTATTTGAGGTCAGAAAATCATGGTTTACAGCTCCCGAGATCCCCAGGATCTAGGAAATGCTTGAGTCAGAGTTGCTTTAAAAAATGAAAATGGAACTAATCCTAAGTATTGAAACTTGTTATCTCATATTTTTTAGATGGAAGTTGAAGCAGTGACCCAGAAGATGGAAAATTTGCAGCAAGATTATGAACTCAAAGTGGAACAATATGTTCATCTTCTTGATAGCAGAGCTGCACGCATTCAGAAACTAGAAGGTACAATTCTTTGTCCACAGTACCTAGGTGAACGGATTTTACGGGAGTTGAAAATGTCATCCAAATCTACATTCATGATTTCTTTCGCTCTGTTTTTTTCTAGTTCAGAGCTGTAATGAGAATTTACCAGAAAGGTGGTTTTTATCTGATTCTTTTCTACTCAAGAATTTTTAGTAATTTTCTATTGCTTTCCAAATTCAGTATTGCAGGCAAAATTTCAGAGTACTTTATGGAGTACCGCAGAACTAACTTCACCACCCCATTCCTCATTTCTCTTCTAAGCAAGCTATGTATGTCATCCAAACAAGTCTGCTTGCTCTTTGTCAGATTCACCTTTCTCAGTCCTATCACTGTACCTTTGCTCCACCTGAGCCTCCTTTTTACCCAACATATACCCTTTTTACCCTGCTTGGAAATCTAACCAAATGCAATGCATGCCTCTGCCAGGAAGCTGGCTCCCATCACTCCTAGCCATTCCTCTACTTGAAATGTCCTTGCAGTGGTTTCCAGAATTGAGCAAGCATGAAAATCACATGAGGATCTTGTTTCAAATGTAACTTCCTGGGACCTACCCCTAGAGATCTGGGGGTCCATGATTCTATATATTTAGAAATAACTCCGAGTGATTCAGATGCAGGTGCAAAACTATACTTTGAAAAACACTAGACTTAGTACTTCCCATTTTTCCTCTTATGTACCAAAAAATATGTGTGGGGATTATATTATGTAAGTGTTCTTCACTGTTGGAGTTTTGCATATTCCCTGTGACTGCAATATAAATTCTGTGAGGCTAAGTACTGAGTTTCTCTTTCATGTCCCCTGCCATACAATGTTTAATTCGAATGATTGATGCCAGCAGTAATTTTACACTCTTAAAAATTACTGAGGATCCCAAAGTCCTCTTGCTTATATGGGTTCTACTTACCATACTAAGGATTAAAAGAGAAATTTTGAAAATATTTATTTTACGTCATGCTAAAATAATAATAAACCCATTACATGTTAACATAAATTACAGTATTTATTTTTTAAAAGCTGTACTTTCCATACAAAAAAAAAAAATAGTGAGAAGAGTGACATTGTTTTAAATTGTTTTACATTTTTTTAGTTGTTTGACGTCTTTGCAGACTTTTTGGTATATACCTTAATAGAAAACAGCTGGGTTTTTAGACCTGCTTCTGCATTCAGCCTGTTATGATACCACACATTATGTAGTCTGGGGAACTCCATTAAACACCTGTGAGAGAATAAGAATGAAAAAGGCAAGTGACATGTCAGGATTATTTTAAAAATAGTTTGACCTCACAAACCTTCAGAGCAGTTTCAGGGACCCTCAGGGTTCCCAAAGCACACTTTGAGAACCACTGCTTTAAGTAGAAGGGTTCAATAAATATCTTTATCTGCCCGAACAGTGTTTTCTAAAAGTCAAAGAGCAGTATATACCTTTTATTTCAAGTAGAACTCAATAAAAATTTGCTTAATTGAATTTTCCTGAATAACAAGGAGATCACATAGTTTGGGATTTTCATCGCTTTTAGTCTTACTAAATCTTCACCAACATATTTCGTCTGTCCCCTAAATTCATTGATTGATTCCTTAAACATGCTCAGGCTCTTGATGCATCCTAAACAATGTGCTAGGCAGGGAGAATCCAAATAGGAAAAAAGAAAAAAGCTCAGGTACCATCCTCAAGGAACTCATAAGATGGAGCACATAGCTATCCTATGTGCTGAGCCTGGGTGGCTCAGTAGGTTAAGCGTCTGACTTCGACTTGGATCGTGATCTCATCGGGTCCTGGGATCTCCCTGCGTTGTCTTGTCTGCCGCCCCTGCCCGCCTCAGGCTCCACGCTCAGCGGGGATTCTACTTCTCCTTCTCCCTCTCCCTCTTGGTCCTCCCCCCGCTCATGCTCGCTCGCTCACTCTCTCTCTCTCTCAAATAAGTAAATAAAATATTTTTTTAAAAGAAAGAGCACATACATAGACAGTTATACTTGACCATGAAGAGTGTGAAGCTAGGAAAATGCAAAAGATACCAAGGAAACATTGAGGAGAGAATGCCTATTTAAACCTGAAGATTCAGAGAAGACTCCACAAAGTAGGTTTGGCATCTTTAAAGATGACAGAATTCACCACTAAGGAAAAGCAATGAAAGGCATTCCAGACAATAGAGGATGCAGGTAAAAATGCCCTAAATGTGAAGCACTGCCTTTCATTTGCAAAACTGCACCCAGATCTATCTAATTGGAACTCATAATTAGTAAAAGGAGGAGAATCTCTCCAGGTAAGGCTGGGAAGAGCCAAATCATGAAGGCCCTGTTTGCCACCTTAAAGAGTTTGAAATTTAATAACCTGAAAACCACTAAGCAATTTTTAAGGTAGGCAGTAATACACCCAGAACTACATTTTGGAGATTATGCTATAGTTATTAGATTATGCTATAGTTAAAAGATTTGAAGGAAGGAAGCACTTCGGGTGCCATAATAATCTGGGTAGTAAACACTGGGAATGTAGGTAAGGTAGCATTAGTGGACAGAGAATGGACAGGGACAAACTTGGAAAGACTTAGGAGACAGTGTTGAATAGTAGTGACCCTATGGATGTGGGGACAGTTAAGAGAAAGAGAAACTAGAACGATTCTGTAGCAACAAGCTTAGGCAACTGGATGAATGCTAATACCAGCACTTGAGATTCAGAATACAGAAATAACTAGAAGAGAATACTCTACATTGGCTCTATTCTATTTTGGATATGTTGAGTTTGATGTAGCTAGGGGATATCTAGACAGTGGGCCCAGCAAGCCATGAGATGTATGGGTCTGGAGTTCAGGAAATAAATCTGAATTAAAAGTGGAAAAAGGAGGGCGCCTGGGTGGCTCAGTTGGTTAAGCGACTGCCTTCGGCTCAGGTCATGATCCTGGAGTCCCGGGATCGAGTCCCACATCGGGCTCCCTGCTCGGCAGGGGGTCTGCTTCTCCCTCTGCCCTCTTCCCTCTCATGCTGTCTCTCATTCTCCCTCTCTCAAATAAATAAATAAAATCTTAAAAAAAAAAAAAGTGGAAAAAGGAGAGTCTTTGCATATTGATAGTAGCAGAAGTCATAAAAGATGGAGGTTACCCATAAGAATATGTAGACTAACAAAAGGATAAAAACAGGGCCCCCAGCAAACTATGAGAAAAAGAAAAACCCCTTAAAAAAACAAGAGAGGTAGAAGGAGAAGCAGGGCAGCTGATGACATGGAAACCAAAGTAGGACAGAGGTTCATAAAAGGGAAAGTGACCATCAATGTCAAGGAAGCAAAGAAATCAAGTGATACAAGAACCAAAGTCTATTCCATCTAACAATTACTTCATTATTGGTGACCTTTTCTGAAGCAGTTTCATGAGAAAAGTAGGGCAGATACTCTTTGGAGGAGGTTGAAGAGTGTCTGTTAGATGAGGAGTTGTAGACACAAGCATACATTACTTTTTCCAGAAATTTGGATGTAACATGGGGATAAAATGTGTATCTAGAAAGAGATATATCTGTTTAAAAAGCAGCTTTATGGAGGTACAATTAACATACTTTAAAACTGCACATATTTGAGGCATACAGCTTGGTGAGTTTGGGCCCATGGCTACACTGTGAAACCATCACCACAATCAAGGCAATAAATATATCCATCACCCCAAAAGTAGAAAAGTGGATATTTTAATAAGCTGAAGGGAAGGAGCCAGTGGAAAGAGAAACTGACTTTAAAGGAGAGAATATAATAAAGCAGAAGCAGAGGAATAAGGAGAATCGAAATATTTACCTCAGCTGTTCATTCAAAAGCCTTTTTTTCTTTTTTCTTTTTCCTTTCCCCTGGTACAGGCTGTATTATAACTTGAGTTGTAATTTTGTTGTTAATAAGTGATGTCAAAACAAAGGATGAATTTTTGTAGAATACAACATTACTCACGGAAAAACAGTGTAGTCATAGAATTTAAGACTGAGACTCTTCACAAAAGCAGTTAAGACTTCATACCACTTCAAAAGCCAGTTTGTATATTCATATGTCAATATTTAAAAATATCTAAACTGTGTGTCTTCTCTTGCAGCCCAATTAAAGGATATTGCCTATGGCACCAAGCAATATAAATTTAAACCAGAAATCACGCCAGATGACTCCGTTGATGAATTTGATGAAACCGTTCACTTAGAACGAGGCGAAAACCTATTTGAAATCCATATCAACAAAGTAACCTTTTCTTCTGAAGTTTTACAGGCATCTGGAGATAAAGAGCCTGTCACTTTCTGTACCTATGCTTTCTATGATTTTGAGCTACAGACAACTCCCATAGTGCAAGGCCTTCACCCAGAATATAACTTCACTTCTCAATATCTCGTTCATGTTAATGACTTATTTTTACAATATATTCAGAAGAATACTATCACTCTTGAGGTCCACCAAGCTTACAGCACAGATTATGAAACAATTGCGGCAGGTCAGTTGAGATTCCATGAAATTCTAGAAAAAAGTGGTCGAATATTTTGCACAGCCAGTTTGGTTGGTAAGTACAATCTTATAAGCTTTGGATATTTGAATCACTAATTTGGTTTATATATTAATATGGTATTCTACATTACTGTCTTCTCCTAGGGATTCAAGATGCCTTGAGGGTGGGACAGTGTCCCCTAATTGATCTGCCCACAGTTGATTGGACTATCCTAAATGTCATTGGTGATGTCAATTGCAATGGCTATTAATTTTTTAAAAGTTTATAAGTGCAAATATTTATTTACGATATTAATACCCTTTTTTGATTAAACATTAATTGTAGTACATTCATCAAATATTTTTTAAGAGCTTATGTTATTGCTGTTACTAGGCATTGGAAATACAATGGTCACTGCTAAGTAAGACAGACAGAGCCCCTGCCATCATGTAGCTTACCTTCTAGAGGGGAAGACAGGCCATAAAACAAATATATATTTCATCAGATGAAGAAAAATGAACAGGCTAATGAGAGAGATGGAAGGTTGCTAATTCAGATAAGGACTTCCCTGGTGGTTGACAGTGATAAAGACCTGAGTAAAGATCCATGACAGGATCCGGGGGAAGAATGTTTCATGCAGAGGTAACAGCAAGTACTGAGGTGGAGGGACAAACATGACATGTTGGATGAACAGCAAGAAGGCCAGTGGCTAAAGCAGAAATGTGATTAAAGCAATAGAAGGATGACTACACAAAGTCAGTCAGAGAAAGGCAAATACCATATGATTTCACTCATATTTGGAATTTAAGAAACAAAACAAATGAACAAAGGGGGAAAAAAAGGGGAGGGGGATGGCAAACCAAGAAACAGACTCTTAACTCTAGAGAAACAAACTGCTGGTTACCAGAAGGGAGGTGGGTGGGGGATAGGGAAATAAGTGATGGGGATTAAGGAGGGTACTTGTTGGTGATGAACCCTGGGTGATGTATGGAAGTGTTGAATCGCTAAATTGTTCCTGAAATTAATATTACACTGTATGTTAACTAACTGGAATTTAAATAAAAACTTAAAAAAAAAAAAAGGAAAGTACACTTTAAAGCACACACACACACACACACACACAATGTAAGGACCAGATCATGCTCTAGAAACTTGTAGGTCATGGTGAGGCAAATGGATTTTTTTTTTCTCTGAGTGATGAAACCCATTGGAGAGTTTTGAGGAGGTAAGTGACGGGATCACACATAGGTTTTAAAAAATCAGCCTGGATGCTGGGGAAAAATAGTCTGTCGGGGCCAAGAGGGAAAACTAGGACCGTTATCAGGCTATTGCATTAATCTGTGGAAAGATGATAGTGGCTTGGATTAAGATGGTAATGAGAAGAGTGACAAGAAGTGGTTATTTTCAGTTTATGTTTGATTAACTTTAAGACTTGCTTATCAATCAAATGGAGAGTAATGAAGGTAATGGAGAAGACAAGAATTTCTGGCATGCACAACAAGGAGAATCATGAGCCCATTTATTGAGATAGGCCTGGGAAAGGAACAAATCTGAGGAAGAAAATCAAGAATTTTGTTTAACAAGTTAAGACTGGCTGCCTGTTGGACAGCCAAGTGGAAATGGCATGTGGGCAGTTGGATACACTAGCCCTAGCGGGAAGGTCAGGGATAAACATATGAAAGGAGGAGTCATTACCATATGGAATCTATTTTAAGCGTTTGGCCTAGGTAATATCATATAGTGAATGTACACAAAGGGGAGAAAGTGGCCAAGGACTGAGCCTTGGAAAACTACACAGTTTAGAGTTCAGGAAGAAGACAAGACGCCAGCAAAGGAAACTAAAGAGTGGCCAGTGATTTAAAAGGCAAGCCAAGAGCATACAGTATCCTTAATGGCCATACTTCCAAAAGAGGCCAAGTAAAGAAACCATTTCAAGAAGAAAAGAGGGTGACTTAGCTTCTGGGGAGGGATTTTATTTATTGATTGATCGATCACAGGGTTAACATATTATTTACATGATTCACAAATCAAAAGGTGTAAAAGTTTATACTATAAAATCTCTCTCTCCTATTCCCTCAGCTACCCTGTCCCTTAGCTACCCTGGAACCCCTCACCAAAGGTTGCAAATTCTCCCAAAGAAATTTTAAGCATATACAAGCAAATATGTGTATCCATTAATATTCTCATTTTAGAACTTTTTTTTTAAATGATAGCAGATCTCAATCATGTTTGTATGTTGATGAGAATGATCCCTTAGTGAGAAAGAAATTGATGAAGTAGAAGAGAATGGGGAAATAGTTTTAATAATATGGTATGCTCAGGAAAGTTTATGTATAGAATATCATCTATTCAACAAATGTTGAGTACCATTGTATACTAGTCCCTCTGGTAGGAATATATCAGTGGAAACCACAGTCCTTACCCTCAAGAAACTTATAGTGTGGGTGGAGAAATACACTGGTGAACAGATAGTTATGTGAAAGGAATCCGTGTCCTAATGAGAGGACATATCCTTCCCCTCTTTGAAGGAAGCAGAGAACCCTTAATTCCCCCAGGAGCCGTAGAGGAAATCTTCAAGAGAAAGAGAGATGAAGAGCTGCCTGAGTTGAAAAGAAGAGTGAGGGTGTACAGGGCAAACATGCGAGTATGAATTACATCCGGCATATATTTGGCATAGCTATGGCATTTGTCCCTGCACCTGTGGCACAGTAGAGAAGTGGGAAGGGGCCAAAGACTTCTCAAAAGTTGAATCATGATGTGGAATTTCATATTTATAATTTTGAGATTTCCTGTTGTATCTCTCAGTCTACATTGAGTACAACTTGTTAAAAACAAGCTACTATAGCATCAAAAAGAATCTGTGGAGTATTTAATACAGTGTTTAGTTTTTTTCTTTATATTTTAGAAGGATTGAAATAGTATAAATTGGAATATCTCAAACATAATTTGACATAGATCTTTAATAATACTTAACATACAATGAAACTCATACTTGCAGAAGAAACTTTATTTTCTTTAGCTCTGTTCTTTGCCAATCACACATCATTTGTGCAAGTCATATATTATTTTACTCAGTATAAAATTTTAACAGTGAGTTGTGCATTGGTTTGTAGGAACTAAAGGAGACATCCCAAATTTTGGCACAGTGGAATACTGGTTCAGATTACGGATTCCCATGGATCAAGCAATTCGACTTTATCGAGAACGAGCAAAGGCTTTGGGATATATAACATCAAATTATAAGGGGCCAGAGCAAATGCAATGGGTGAGCTGGTTGGACTTTAAGACATTTTTATGATACAGAAATTTTATAATATGTCTTTTTATGTCATGCTTTAAACCAAAATCATTTTCTTTCACAGCCATCAAGTGACTCTTTTTAACTTTTTATTTTGAAATAATTATAGACTTACAGGAAGTACAAAAACAGTACAGAGAAGTTCTGTGTACCCTTCACCCCCCTTCTCCCAATTGTAACATCTTACATAACTACAGTACATTATCAAAACCAGGAAATTGACACAGGTACAATACCATTAACTAGACTACAGACCTTATTCGGATTTTATCAGTTTTTACATGCACTCGTGTGTGTGTGTGCGCGCGCGTATTATGAGTTCTGTGCAGTTTTATCATGTGTATGTATTCATGTAACTACCACCACAAGCAAGATTCAGAATTGTTCCATCACCACAAAGGAACTCCCTTGTGCAACCCAGGGTACTTTTGAAAAATAGAATTGCAGTACTCTGAATTGGAAGTTTAAATGCAATTCCTCAGAGCAGCATTTCCCAAACTGTGTTTCATGTAGTCTTAATGGCCATACTTCCAAAAGAATTCCATGATCCAATGAATGCAGAAAGTACTAAAGTGAGCAAAGTGAAATAGGGTCCTTGACTTCTCATGTATAACAAGAATCCCAAGAGGAAAGCTTAAAGTATGCATTTGAGTAACAAAGGGATAAAATATAGTTGAAACATTCTGGAATGTCTGCTCAAATCATAATTATCTTTTTTCATTTGGACCACTGTCACTCCCAGTCTATGGGGATTTATGTCTGGTGGTCCTGTTCTCTCCCACTTTGTACTCAATTATGACTAATGATTCAGGGGTATCCACCTGACCCCAGTTAAGCCAATCGGATTCTGCTTTCAAGAGAAAGCAAGACTCTCTGTGCTTGGAACATGTAAAATTGGGAGCTGTGGGGTAGCCATCTTCTACCATGTTAACCAGCAAAGGAAAGAAAATGGGTCTGGAGAGAAAGAATAATGAGCAAGCATACAGAGAAAAATGGCCACTAGATCGAGTGTAAATTCTGGTGGTTTTCCAGTCCTCTTACCTTCCTAAGGCCCACCCACATTTCTGCTATACAATTCCATGAAATAACCATATGGACTTGCATTAAAGTCTCTTTTTGTTGTATTTGCTAGATGGAATTAGTTTCTATAATTTTCGGTTAAAGAACCATGACTAATATAACATCGATTCCCAAACTTAAGAAAGAATGACACCTGTTTCCCAGAGATCATCTTTCTGGACTAGTATTCTTCAGAACAGACGTTGGGAAATGCTGTTAATGGAAAAGAGAATTAAAAATAGACCAGGCTATTTATTTAGTTTTGTAGTTTAATTGTTTTTAGACTCCCACTTTCTGGCTTGGGTGAGTCATTTGTTGGAATTCCAGCTTTTGTGGGTAGATTTGGAGTAAGAAGCAGAGGGGGTACTTTTTAAATCATTCCACTTAGCATTCTATAGCAGAATACAGGTTTCTTCTCAGTTTTCTCCTCTGCACACCACCAGATGTCTCTACTGAGGACATTATGAGTTTGGGTCTATTTTGCCTTCTCCAGTAAACTTCGCTGGAGTCAAAGGTTCCAGATGCTCCATCCAGATTCAGAAATGCAGTGAAGGAGGAGCCCCTTTGTGGAAAATAGAGAATTCTCCAACACTAAACTAAACAAGACCCAGGAACACTAACATTTCTTTGTCCCAGGGCATCAGCTATGGTGGCTTAACAAGTTAATTAGGGCAATTGTTTGTTAAAACACTTATGCACCGGCTACGTGAACAATAGTTCCATAAGGGGCCATAGAGTAGCTTCTAGTTCTGCATTATAATTCCTTTCACTCATCTTTCTTCTGAAATGTCCTCCTAATCCTAACTTTTTATGCCGTCCAATGTTTATCTCTGACCCTATTCTCTTTTTCTTATATTAGTTGAACTTCAGTTTACTGGATAATCTTAGGCCATGTATCTGCGTCCCCAAACACCATTGGTTGAAGATGAGGGCCAACCCAAATATAATGAAATAATCTCTCTGGGTGGGCTCCATCAAATTCACTGGATTCTTACATAACAGTGAGTTATGATCACAATAGCTGGAGCGGTTGAAGGATTAGCTCTTAATAAAATTGTGAACTAGAGGACATTTGTCTTTGGACTCATCTGTTCACTTTACTCTTAGTTATTAAATAGAATTAAAGAATATCAATTCTTGGTTTTATTTTGTTTTAACAACAGTCTCTACATGTATGCTCAGTCATCTATATTTATTGCTAATAGCTTAAGATCACCTGTTCACACATGTTCTAGGGAATATTAGTTTTGACTAAGAATCAGGTCTTTTACTGAGAAATTCACTATGAAGTGTAAATACACATCTTTTTGTCCATTTACAAAATTATTTTGTTTGGGATTTGGCAGCTGCTATTTATCTTTTCATTGTATTATTACTATAATATAAATATGTATTTTTTTCCAGTCAAGTCAGCAAGCACCCAAAACTGCTCAGCTCAGTTCTACTGATTCCACAGATGGCAACTTAAATGAACTTCATATTACAGTCAGATGTTGCAACCACTTGAAGTCCCGAGCAAGCCGCCTTCAGCCACACCCATATGTTGTGTACAAGTTTTTTGATTTTGCAGACCATGATACAGCCATCATTCCCAGTAGCAATGATCCACAGTTTGATGATCATATGTGTTTCCCTGTGCCAATGAATATGGATTTGGATCGATACCTTAAGTCAGAGTCTCTGAGTTTTTATGTATTTGATGATAGTGATACTCAAGAGAATATATATATAGGAAAAGTCAATGTGCCTCTGATTTCATTGGCACATGACAGGTGTATCTCAGGTAAGCATATTTATTGAATCTATGAAATTGTAAAAACAAACCTAAATTATATTTCAGTTATGGATATGACTAACCTTCCTAAGTTCTCAGATAATCTTAAACGTTGGGCCTACAGTTTTTTTCCTAGTTATTTTCTTAGTAGTTGTTCTACAGATTACAATATGTATCTTACCAGTCTAAAATTAATGCTGACAACTCCATCAAAATATAGAAAATCTGCCCCAGTATAATTCCATTTCCTTCCCCCTCCTTTGTGCTATTATTGTCATATATTTATGTAAAGAATGCCTATATATGTTATAAATCCAACAATACAATGTTATAATTATTGCATTGTATAACTTTTTGTCTTTTTTTTTTTAAAGATTTTATTTATTTATTTGACAGAGAGATAGAGCCAGAGAGCACAAGTGGAGGGAATGGCAGAGGGAGAGGAAGAAGCAGGCTCCCCACCGAGAAGAGAGCCTGATGCGGGGCTCGATCCCAGGACCCTGGGATCATGACCTGAGCCAAAGGCAGATGCTTAACCATCTGAGCCACCCAGGCACCCAACTTTTTGTCTTTTAAAGAAGTCAAGAGAGGGGAGAATATCTATAATTATAGGAGACTTTCACATTAACTTACATGGTTACCATTTCTGGTATTCCTTTTTTTTTTTTTTTTTTTTTTTCCATTTCTGGTGTTCTTTATTTCTTCCTATGGATTTGAGTTACTGTCTGGTGTTATTTCCATACTCCAGTATAACTCCATTGCCACTCTCTCCTTTGTGCTGTTATGATGATATATTTTTTATCTTTATTTAAGTTCAACAATATAATTTTACTATTATTGTTTTATGCAATTGTCTTTTAAACCAGTTAAGAGAAGAAATGACAAAAAATATATTTATACTGTCTTTCATAATTACCTAAATGATTACTTTTATTGGTCTCTGTTCCTTTGTGTTGATTTGAGATCTGGTATTACTTCCTTACAACCTAAAGAACTTCCTTTAATATGTCTTGTAACTCAGGTCTGCTGGTAATGAATTCTCTCAATTGTTATCTAGGAATGTCTTTATTTTGCTTTTATTTTTTTGAAGGATAGTCTTGCTGGGTATAATATTCTTAGTCAGGGGCGCCTGAGTGGCTCAGTCATTAAGCGTCTGCCTTCAGCTCAGGTCGTGATCCCAGGGTTCTGGGATCAAGCCCCACATCGGGCTTCCTGCTCCACGGGAAGCCTGCTTCTCCCTCTCCCACTCCCCCTGCTTGTGTTCTCTCTCTGTCAAATAAATAAATAAATAATCTTTTAAAAAATATATATATATATTCTTAGTCATCAGTTATTTTTTTCTTTGGCACTTTGAGTATATCAGGTGACTAATTTCTGGCATGCATTGTTTCTAATGAGAAATCAGAAATGTTATTATTATGGTTCCCTTGTACTTGTTACTATCTTCAATATCTTCTTTTTAGTGTGTGTGTGTGTGTGTGTGTATGTGTGTATCTATGTATGGCTTTAAACAGACTATGATGTTTATGATGTGGATCCCACTGTGCTTATCCTACTTAGAATTTGTTGAGCTTCTTTATGTGTAGGGTACTGTTAGGTACCAAATTTGGGGAGTTTTCTGCTGTTATTTCTTCAATTTTTTTCTGCCCTTTCTTCCCCCTCTTGGACTCCCATTACATGTACATTTGTGTTTAATGGTGTCCCACATTCTCTGAAGCTCTGTACATTTTTCTTCATTTTTTTCTCTGCATATTGGAAAAGCTCTGTTGGTCAGTATTCAAGTTCACTGATTCTTTCTTCTGCCAGCTCAAATTTCCTATTGAGACCCTCTACTGATTTTTTTTTCATTTTAGTAATTATAACTTCAACTCCAGAATTTCTATTTAGTTTTTTCTTTTTTTATAAAGAAAGGGGCACCTGGGTGGCTCATTTGGTTAAACGTCTGCCTTCAGTTCAGGTCATGATCCCGAAGTCCTGGGATCAAGCCCCGCATCAGGCTCCCTGTTCAGTGGAGAGCCTGCTTCTCTCCCTGCCCCTCACCCCACTCGTGCTCCCTCTCTCAAATAAATAAATAATATCTTAAAAAAAAAAGAAAAGAAACCTTAATATAATGACTAAAATTTGTGACTCTGTATTACAGTTGCAGCTAGGTGATACTTTTTATTACTGTTTTGGGCAGTTTGTCTATTTTCTGGACATTTTTTGTTGTGCTGCTATTAATTTGGAGTAATTTAACAAATCCCAGTAAAAATATATTTAAAATTATGATAAAATTATGTGGTAATATGAAGACTTCCTTAGATATATAAATTATTTGAAATTGTGAAGTTTTAATATATTTTTCTACAGAGACAAGTCTTTTGCAAGAATATTTAAGGCAAAAGGAGGTTGATACTTGAGCTATAATCCAGATAATGTCTTAGAGGAAGGCTAAGAATTCTGAATAATCTCTGAATTTAATTTCAGTGAATTAAAATATTTATAAGTTAATTTTCTCTTCTTGGAATCAGTATTATCACTAAGGCCTTAACTTCTGAAAGGAGTCTGCTTCAGAGATGAACCTATCATAGATTATTTTGTCTTTATTCTCTAAGCCATTTGAGGTGTGAGTAAAAGCCAAAATTATTTTTAAAGTTGTGGGTAGTTCTTCTTCTTTAATTCTTATGGTAATAAAACTTCACTCTAGCATTAATTAAAAGTATTTTTGTAACTTGACAGGAGTGTTTGAGTTAACAGATGATAAAAAGCATCCTGCAGGAACCATCCATGTTATATTGAAATGGAAATTTGCTTACCTTCCACCAAGTGGATCTATAACAATTAAAGACTCAGGAAATTTTATACGCAAAGAAGAGTCAGAAGTTGTTCAAAGAGTACCTCCAACATCCTCTATTAGCACATTAGTTGTTGTGAGTAACAGTGACTTTGAATTTATTTTAAAAAGAAAGAAAAAATAGTTGTAGTTTTATCTAAGTGTATGTTCATCATACTCAGTTTGACATATTGATTTATCTTAGGCACCAACACCAAAACCAAGACAGCGTTTAACACCTGTAGATAAGAAAGTGTCTTTTGTGGATATCACACCACAACAGAGTTCTGTAAGTAGTAAACACTGAAAATACTGATATTTTTCTCTCATACCAAATATTTTAAATAAATGATGTAGGTGTTGTATACCCTACCTGATTTCAAAGGAAACCAGTGAATAAAATACTTCTTTTTCCTTTAATGTTAGCTCTTAATTTGGCGCTGTGTATAAATGTTTACTCTTCTTACTCTGATCTAAACCCTCTTTTGACTCCATTTGTAACTCCAGCCACTACCCTATCCTCTTCCCCCATTTATGGGACGGGAAAAAAAAGAAACCTCTTCAGAAAGTCTTAATTCTGTTTCCCTTTCTTCACACCATTTCTTGAACTCACTCTAGTCAAAATTCATCCTCATTAAAACCACTCTTGCTAAGTGCACAATGACTTTGATTTTGCCATATCCAGTAGTCAGTTCTCAGTCCCCATCTTTATCTCCCAGTAACATTCGACACAGTGGAATACTTGCTCCCTCTTCACTTGGCCTCTAGGACACCATGCCTTTCTAGATTCTCTCCAGCTTTACCAGTTATTCTTCTCACTGTCCCAGACCAAATCTCTCAGTGTAGAGGTGCCTCAGCAGTTTCACTGCAGACCTAGACCTCTTCTCACTCTGTATCTACATTCACAGGTCTTAGCCAGTCTTAGCCAGTCTCATAGTTTTAAACATCTAGATGCAATCCCTCTCATATTTATTATCTTCAGTCTTGATCTTGCTGCCAAATTCCAGGTTTATTTTCTCCCCGCTTATTTCATATGCATCCGGTTGTGTAATAGGAATCTAAACTTAACATGTCACAAACCAAATGTGACTTCACATCCCCCTTCCAAAATGTTTCTTCCATTGTTTCCCATTCTCAATAAATGACGAACCATTCACCCAGTTGCATAGTCGTTAAATTTTTTTTTTTTTAAAGATTTTATTTATTTACCAGAGAGAGAGAAAGAGCACGCACACGGGCAGGGGGAGCGGCAGACAGAGGGAGAAGCAGACTCCCCACTGAGCAGGGAGCCCAACACGGAACTCAATCCCAGGACCCTGGGATCATGACCTGAGCCAAAGGCAGACGCTTAATGACTGAGCCACCCAGGCAGCCCCATAGTCATTAAATTTTGAAGGCATCCCTTTGTCATTCTCTTTTTCACACCCTACGTCCAGTTCATCCACAAAACCTGTCAGCTATAGCTTTCAAAACATATCCTGTATTTACATCATCTCCACTGTCACCACTCAAGTCACCATCATCTCTTTTGGATCTTTAAAAAAAATATTTTCCTTGTAATTGAGATATAACTCTTAAATAGTTAAAAGATACAAAACTTAAGCCCCCTCTCAATGAATTTTTCCCTATGTACACACCTGGGTAAACAACACCCAGATGAAAATATTTTTTCTTGGGGCGCCTGGGTGGCTCAGTCCGTTAAGTGTCTACCTTCAGCTCAGGTCATGATCTCAGTCCTGGGATTGAGCTCCACGTTGGGCTCCCAGCTCAGTGGGGAGTCTGCTTCCCCTCTCCGGCTGCCCCTCCCCCCCACTTGTGCTCTCTCTCTCATGCTTTCTCTCTCAAATAAATAAAATCTTTAAAAAATAAAAATTAAAAAATAAAAATATTTTTTCTCCTCAGAGCTTAAGGTGATACCTGGCATATACAGTGCATTTAATATATATGTGCTAAATAAATGAATTCAGAAACTATTATTCAGGCCATATTTAACAGCAAACACTTACTGAGTGCTCATTATGTGTCAGACACTGAACTAAATGCTTTATGCCCACAAATTCATTTAATTCTAAGAACAACCTTATGATCATACTAGAATTATTGCCATTTAAAGATCAGGGAAGTAAGGGGTATCTCGTTGACCCACTCTGTTAAGTGTCCAACTCGTGATTTCACATCAGATCATGATCTCATGGGTTGTGAGATGGAGCCCTGTGCAAGGCTTGTGCTCAGGGCAGAGCCTGCTTGAGATTCTCTCCCTCTCCTTCTACCCTTCCCCTCCTTGCTCTCTCCTGCTCTCTCAAATAAAAATAAATCTTAAAAAAAAAAAAAGATCAGGAAAGTAATATGTACAGAGCTTAAGTAACTTGCTCAAGGGCAAAATATTAGATCTGGAATTTGAACACAAGTAGCTGGATTCCTACATAAATAATTATAAGTATAAAAAAGACATACATATACATGGAGATGTTTGTTGTAATGTTAGTCACAATTGCTGAAAATAGTGAATTAGTTAAATGTCCAACACCAGTAAAATGGTTCATTAAATTATGATACATCCATTCATTTTAATATTATATCTTATTAAAAATGTTTACCCAAAGTTTCATACCAGGAGAAAATTTTATATTGTAATATTAAGGTTTTTTTAAAATATAACAGGATATATTATATTTATAATTACCACTATGTAACCAAGAAAGTTTTTTATTTGCATTAAAAATTAATCATAAAGGGGCACCTGGGTGGCTCAGTTGGTTAAGCATCTGCCTTTGGCTCAGGTCATGATCCCAGGGTCCTGGGATCGAGCCCCACATTGGGTTCCCTGCTTGGCAGGAAGCCTGCTTCTCCCTCTCCCAATCCCCCTGCTTGTGTTCCCTCTCTTGCTGTGTCTCTCTCTCTGTCAAATAAATAAATAAAATCTTTTTTCTTTATATTTTTATTTATTTGACAGAGCGAGAGAGTGCACAAGCAGGGGAAGCAGCAGAGGGAGAGGGAGAAGCAGGCTCCCCGCCGAGCAGGGAGCCCGATGCGGGGCTCTATCCCAGGACCCTGAGATCATGACCTGAGCCGAAGGCAGATGCTTAACGACTGAGCCACCCAGGTGTCCCAATAAATAAAATCTTTAAAAAAAAAAATCATAAAGGGGCACCTGGATGGCTCAGTTCATTGAACATCTTGACCCGTTCGTTCAGGTCACGATCTCATGGGATCGCACTCCCCAGGGAGTCTGTTTGGGATTCTCTCTCTCCCTCTCCCTCTGTCCCTCACCTCACTCACTCTCTCTCCATCTCAAATAAATAAATCTTTAAAATCAACTTGAAAGAATTTTTTTAAAAATTAATCATAAAGGAAAAGGTAGAAAATTGTAACGAAATCTCCTGTTAATGGATATTATCATTGGGTAATGAGAATATGGACTTGTATTAATTTCTTTTGTTTTCTGGTTTATCTTTCCCATTTTCTATATTGGACATGTTTAATTTTAAACTAGCAAAAATGATAAGCTATATTTTAAAAATAAACCAGTTTATGAATCCTGGAAAATGGTTGACCATAAATTGATATTTGATACAGTTAAAAAATAATGTTGATCCTAGAAAGTATGTATCTTCACATATGCAATATTGTTTAATTACATGAGTAATGTATAATCATCATGAAAATATTAGAAAATACAAATAAGAAAAAAAAAACGTTAAAAATAAAATTAAATTTCCCCAAATCTATATATCAGAGATAGAATTTTAGTGAATTTCCTTCCATACTTATTCCCATAGGAACATACACATTGTTTGCATGTTTGTTTTTTAACAGAACAGTATACAACTATATGTATTATTCTGTAACTAGCATTTTTTACTCAACACTGTATCGGGTACTCTCTTCAGTGTCAGTAAGTACAGATCTGCATTATCATTTTTTTCATGGTTGCAAAGAACTCAGGTATTTGGATATATACCATATTTTATTTAACCCTATACTGTTGGACATTTGCACTGTTTTCACTTTTTTTGCAATTATAAACAATGCTTCAATGAACAACAGTTGCAATTCTTAACTTGCGTATATATACCATGATGACTATCAACCATTTTACTGAAATATGCTAACTAAAATTGGGGTCATATGGGTAATATGTATATATATATATACAGTGTGTATATATGTATATCTGTATATATATATAGGATTTATATATATATAGGATTTATATATATGTATAGGATTTATATATATATATATAGGATTTAGTAATAAAGTAATAAATACAAAATAACACATATGCATGTTTTCACATCAATAAAAGGAGATACCTCCTCCTCCTGAAGATGTGAAGGAAATGTCATCAGTAGTGGAGCATACGCCAGAAATAGAAACTAATATGCCAACTCTTTCACATATCCCTGAGGTATGTATTAAAATTATTTTGAAAGGTTTAATTTGGTTCGTAAAAGACTTTGTCTTGGGGGCGCCTGGGTGGCTCAGATGGTTAAGCGTCTGCCTTGGGCTCAGGTCATGGTCCCAGGGTCCTGGGATCGAGTCCTGCATCGGGCTCCCTGCTCAGCGGGAAGCCTGCTTCTCCCTCTCCCTCTGACTGCCGCTCTCTCTCGCTCTCTGTATCTCTGTGTCTCAAATGAATAAATAAAAATCTTAAAAAAAAAAAAAAAGCTTTGTCTTTGTATTAAAATGGATCAAGGGGGCACCTGGGTGGCTCAGTTGGTTGAGTGACTGCCTTCGGCTCAGGTCATGATCCTGGAGTCCCGGGATCGAGTCCCGCATCGGGCTCCCTGCTCGGCAGGGAGTCTGCTTTTCCCTCTGACCCTCCTCCCTCTCATGCTCTCTGTCTCTCATTCTCTCTCTCTCAAATAAATAAAATCTTAAAAAAAAAAAAAATTTAAAATGGATCAAGAACTCAAAGCATTGATCCTATATTTGTGTATAACTTCCTGGGGACAGAAAGATCGACCAGTGTTGTAATTATGCTGATATTAGCTGCTAATAAGTAGATATGTGAATTAGAGTAATAATGTAAAATTCATTTTGATATTAATATATTTTTCATCCTTGGCTTTTAATAATATTTTCATTTATCTTCATATTATCATTTGTGCAACTTTAGTGATGGTTTTTCTAATGAATCACTTACATATAATGCATGTCCATATATTTAAGTCTCAAGCTTACATTCTTTCTGAGTCAGGTGCTTCAGCAAGTACACACACGTGATCTAAGCAACAGTGTTATCAGTGTGCTTGCAATTTCTTCAGGTTTCTCAAGAAAGCAGTGGAGCTAAGGTAAAAGAGAAAATTCAACAAGGAAAAGATGATGATGTATCTTTCCTGTCTGAGGGTCAACTTGCAGATCGAAGCTGGACTTCTTCTGAAGATGAAACAGAAATAACTGAGGAATTGGAACCAGAAGGTGATTTTTTTTCCTTTCTTTAATTACCATTATTTACTTAATTGTGTGCTTTCTTTAATCTGTTAGAGCGTGCCTCCTAGGACATCTTCACATAATAGTGGATCTACTTCATGATACCTATGTCTTGACTGACAGGTCAGCGTAGTCCGCTAAAGGCAGGCAGAATTGTTGCAAACCTTCTTATCTCAACCTGCAGGGCCACAGTGCAATCCACGACTCACTGCTGACCGTGTCCCCAATTTACGTTTTAAGTGGCTTTATGTTTTCTTTGGGTTTTATACTATCATCTGAATTATTCTGGAGAAATTAACTTTTTAAAAATTAAAACTAAAAACTCAAGACAACTCTTAACAGGATTTAATTTATATAAATATCTAGACGAGGCAATTATAGTGACAAAGCATTTAGGTGATGCGTAGGGAAGGGCGAATGGGAACTGAGAGATACAGAAAAAGAGTTTACAGGGGGCATGAGGAAACTTAATAGGGTGACAGATGGGTTCATGATCTTAATCGTGGTGATATTTCACAGAATTATACATATGTCAAAATATCAAATTTTGCTCTTTAAATATGTGTAGTTTTTCATATGGCAATTTTTCCACAATAAAACTGCAAATTTTCGGGGCGCCTGGGTGGCTCAGTTGGTTAAGCGACTGCCTTCGGCTCAGGTCATGATCCTGGAGTCCCGGGATCGAGTCCCGCATCGGGCTCCCTGCTCAGCAGGGAGTCTGCTTCTCCCTCTGACCCTCCTCCCTCTCATGCTCTCTGTCTCTCATTCTCTCTCTCGCAAATAAATAAAATCTTAAAAAATAAAACTGCAAATTTTTTTTAAATGTTTCTAAATGTAAGAAGTAACTTGAAACTAATGATGTAATGTATGGTGATTAACATAACATAATAAAAAAATAAAAATAAAAAAAGAATTAACTTGATGTTTGCACAATGTAATTGGTTAGGCTGTTAGAAAACACCTATTATCCTGTCCTTCTCTTTAAAGAGATTATTTTTGAATTTCAGAGCAAGGTATATTTTTATTATTTTTGTTTCTACTAAAACTAAACTTGGGATTTTAAGTCATTTTTTTAATCTTTTCTAAAATATAATGTAAGAGTAAATATCTTTGCTGCTAAGAAAGGTCTAGACATGATTATCATATTGTCCTTTTAAGGTTATCCTTATATTTCCCTCCATTTCATAAGGTATAAATATAATTGGTTTAACAGACTTGAACCACTGAAATTTTATTTTTTAACAGATGAGGAAGACAGATCAGCATCTGACAGTGATGAGTGTATTATTCCAGGTCATATCTCCAAGAATATCAAACAGGTCAGTAGCTTGATGCCAGCTAGAAATGTTACAAAATAAAGCTGCTTTTCATTCATAGTGTATGGGTCTTCGCATATGTAAATCTGAAGGCAAAAATATTTCTGGGAAAATTTTATGTATCCTCACAATCTTACCCATGTAATCATCTAGTACAAAAAAAAATTCATATGTAGTTTCATTCTGTAATGGGTCATAACTTGTGTTATTTTTGCTTACATGTTAACAATACCTATCAGCAGCAGCTTTAATAATTACTTGCTTAAACCAGTTGACATCCCTGACTCCTTTTCGGAAGGATTGTACAAAGATGTATTAAATCCAATCTGAGGGGTACCTGGGTGGCTCAGTAGGTTAAGCATCTGATTTTGGCTCACGTCCTGGTCTTACGGTTCTGGAAGCAAGCCCCTCAGCAGGCTCCCCACTCAGCAGGGAGTCTGCTTGTCTCGCTCCCTCTGTTCCTCCCCCTGCTCGTGCTCTCTCTCTCAAATAAATAAATAAAATCTTTTTTTAACAAAATCCAATCTGAGCTTTAAGAATTCAAAATGGGATATTTAAAACTATAATACTTCAAGTGTGAATTCATTCATACACTAAATATGTCCACTGATAAACTTAAAGTTATTTCCACCAAAAAATTAAACCTTCATAGAAGGTGTACTTCTTGTATAGGTGTACTTGTTTTGTAGCACATTGCTGAAAAGCAGTATGTAAAAGGAAATTTTGAAAAGAAAATTATACTTTAATTCATGTGGAAAGTATACCCCTTACCAGAGCATTTTTTTTTTATTTTAAGGGGGGAGGGGTAGTTTTTATAAAGTAAATATAAGTAAAGTAAAAAGGCCCTAGCTTTTTCTATTCATCTACGTTGATTTTCCTGAAATGATTAATTGTACTCCTTTTTTTGGAATTTCTACTTTATGGGTAAGAATTGGAATACTTTTTTCAACTTTTAAAATTCTTAGCTTAACCTCTCTGCAGAACAAACCCAAATACAAACAGATGATTGATAAGTACAAGCAGAACAGTTCATCTGTCCAAAGTTTTATTATCATTATTAATTATAATATCACCTGACACATGGCATCCTGATATGTGGAATCTTTATTGTTCAAAATCAATAAATCAAGGAAGGAATCTTAAATATAGTTGCCCAGAGACTTTTAATTGTAGTATTTAGTTCAATTCAATTTAGCTTTTTGGCTTTATCAAACCTGAAATTGTTAAATTATTTATCAAACTAACGAATAGAAATTCTCTGCTCTCTATTAGAAATTTTTGATGATGGGAATCAAAGGGAAAATGAGCCCCTTGTGTGGAATTTAGCTTCATAGCCATTTGTATTAGGGTTTTCCAGGGAAACAGAACCAGTAGGATATATACGTATAAATACGTACATATAGGGCGCCTGGGTGGCTCAGTTGGTTAAGCGACTGCCTTCAGCTCAGGTCATGATCCTGGAGTCCCGGGATCGAGTCCCGCATCGGGCTCCCTGCTCGGCAGGGAGTCTGCTTCTCCCTCTGATCCTCCTCCCTCTCATGCTCTCTGTCTCTCATTCTCTCTCTCTCAAATAAATAAATAAAATCTTAAAAAAATATATGTACATATAAAGAGATTTATTATAAGGAATTGAGTCACGTCATTATGGAGACTGAGAAGTCCCAGGAACTGTATTCAGCAAGCTGGAGACCCAGAACGTCAGTGGTGTAGTTCCGGGCTGTTAAAACTAGGAGTGCCGATGGCATCAGTTCCAGCTAGAAAGCAAGCAGGCTGGAGACCTAAGAAGAGTCAGTGTTTCAGGTCAAGTTCAAAGTCAGGAAAAGACCATTGTTGCCTCTGAAGGCCATTAGGCAAGAGGAGTTCTCACCATTTTTGTTCTCTTCAGGTCTTCCTGCTGGTTGGAGAAAGCCCCATCCACCTTAGGGAGGACAGTCTGCTTTACTCAGCCTACCAATTCAAATGTTAATCTTATCCAAAAACAGCCAGATGGACACACCTAGAATAATGTTTGACCAGAGGTCTGAAAATCTGGTGGTCCAGTCAAGTTGACAGATAAAATTAACTATCCGGGGTTCCCCGGGTGGCTCAGTCAGTTAAACACCAGACTCTTGGTTTCGGCTCAGGTCATGATCTCAGGGCTCCATGCTCACTGGGGAGTCTACTTTCCCTCTCCCTCTACCTCTCCCCCTGCTCACACTCAGTGCTCGCTCACTCTCTCTCAAATCAGTCAATCTTTAAAAAATCTGACGATGACGTCATTTTATTAAGAACCATCCATTCATTACATCAAGAGTAGTAAGCCTGCATGTTTGAATCAGACATTTCTTTCTCATGTGTCAATAGTTCTTCTGGAAGACTTTGCCTAACTCATCAAGATTTTTGAACACCTATATGATTTAGCCTTTTGAACATAAGACTATGAGAAATGAGATACTGAATCAGTCCTGGGGTTTTACTGAGGGATGTATTTATCTGGTCAAAGTACAAGCAACACTCATCCCTCTTGTCATAACGCAGTGATTCCCAGGGATTCAGTGTCTGCAGTTTGTCATCACTTCTCCTAAGGAAGTAAACACAGTATTCTGGTCCTGCCCTCAAGGAACATCTTCATTAACTGGGAAGATGTGTTCATGAAAATTCAAGTAGTTATTCAGCTGTTAAATTATAATATAAAACAATGTCAGGTGACAGTACCAATAATTAATGTAATAGATATTTGAGGTAAAGAATACTTAGCTGTTTTCTGGCTCCCCTTCTCATTTTTCAAATGAATAAACTGAGCTCTTGAGAGATAAAGTGACTTGCTGATAATCTTGCCACTAATTAAGGAAGTCCAGGGGAAGGAGAAATTTGAAGTGACTTTTTAGTAGGCTTTATGGAAGATATGCCCAGAGGTGGCCCATCTGCCTTCTTGTGGGCTTCATGTCTACTTTTTCTAATTTTAAGCTGACTTTCTCTGCTTTCCTTGTTTATTGCCCACAGATAGCCATACAAACATGCCCAGCCCCAAGGAGAAAAATCTAATTAGCCATGCCTAGCCTCTGGATTGGGTCCATCTTTATCAGTTCTATACCCTGATCCCTTCAGCTATGGTCAATCACACAGTAAGAAGGGGTGTTCTGCTTTAACTGTGACATCTCAAAGATGCGTATATATGGCAGCAGAGAGAAAATTATGTGCACTTCTAGTGCAGGGGTGCCTGTGTGTTTCAGAAGTCAAGAATACACTAACTAGAGCAGCCTTTTTATATACGAGGGTAGAAGACTTTAGATACAAGCTAAACATTTTGGATTTTATCCAATAGATACTAGGGAGACATTGTAATGGTTAATTTTATTTTCTAAACATTGTATTCATCATTCAAAAGTAACTTTGAAAGTATAGGAAAATGTTATCTAAATTATAGCATCTTAGACCAAATGATTTTCAACTGGGGGGAGTGGGTATTTTGTCCCCCAGGGGACATTTGGCAATGTCTGGAGACATTCTGGATTGTCAGACTGGGAGGGACTGCTGACATCTAATAGGTCGGGGTTAGGGTTGCTGCCAAACATGCTACAATGCACAGGACTCACAGCAAAGAACTATCTGGCCTGAAATGTCAATCGTGCTGAGGCTGAGAAATCCTTCATTCAGTGGAACCATGTGTATTGGCAACATGGCTAGCGTCTCAGTGGAATTGTTCAATGCCCTTGACTAAGACAGAATAAGGCACTTCGATTTAACAAAGATGTTTAGTGAAAGAGAACTATCCCTCTAAAATATCCAACTAGTTCTAACGTACACATCTATTTTTCCTTTAGAATAAACTGAGGTTTTTTTCTTCTTATTCCTGGGAAAGTAATTTGTGTTACTTTGCTACAGCCTGCTACAGTCTTGACTGCCATTCCAAATGTGATTTATTATAATGGTTTAAGATGCTTTCTCAAATGTGTGAATATCATTTAAACGAAGCAACTGCTGTAAGCAATGCTTTATGCCTCAGTTGCCTTTACTCACCTCCCACATGCTTTTAAAAATTCTACTTTTAGGAGAAAGTACTAACCAGTATTTTATGTTAATAGGTGATATTTAGTTGTGTTAAATTACTTACCAAATATGGGGGCGCCTGGTTGGCTCAGTCGTTAGGTGTCTGCCTTCGGCTCAGGTCATGATCCCAGGGTCCTGGCATCGAGCCCCACATCAGGCTCCCTGCTCAGCAGGAAGCCTGCTTCTCCCTCTCCCACTTCCCCTGCTTGTGTTCCCTCTCTCGCTGTGTCTCTCTCTGTCAAATAAATAAAATCTTTAATTAAAAAAGAAAAAAATTATTTACCAAATATGGTAAAATAGTTTAATCTGTAAACATAGGAACAAACCTCAAGAGATCATCAAAATCATGAAATTTAGTGTTTTCTAGTGATTATACCAGTTTTTCTGTGTGCTACTTTAACAGTCGTTCAATATGAGTCATGGAACCTTTTTTCTTTAAAGATCACAAAAGTAGTACAAAGAACTCCTAAATGTACTTCACCCACATTCATCAGCTGTCACATTTCAGTACATTTGTTTATGATTTCTGTTGTCTCTCCTATATATGTGTATGTGCACCTATGTATGTATACATACACATTCTTGCATACATAATTATAATGAAACATTTCAGAGTTGCAGAAGTCATGCTCCTTTACCCTTAAATACTTCAGAATAATAATATAATACTATTATTTAATCAACAGTTCTCATTAAAATTTTGCCAGTTGTTCCAGTAGCATAATTTATAGCATTTGATTAATCTGGTCCAGGATCCAATCCAGATCGCACACTGTGTTTAGCTTTCCTGTCTCATTAGCCTCTGTATTCCATGATGATGGTTTCAGCCTTTCTTTATGTGGGTTCTTTCAGATTAAGATTTTTTAAGAATCCAGGTCATTTATATTGTAGAATAGCCTTCAATTTGGATTTATGTGATGTTTCCTCATATTAGATTCAGTTATATGTTTTGGTAGGAATACTACAAAAGTAGT